CTTCCTAAAAACGCTGCAGGATTTTTCAAACATGCATGAATGAGTCAAAGCAAGGCTTTGGGCATGTTTTATGAGAGTATAACATTATAACAGGACATAAAACTCAAAAAATGATTTTACATGATATTGCTCCTTAAAATGAGTAAAATTTACATTTCTGTTTCAAAGGTCAACTCATGGCAGCCATCTTGAATCCCTCTTTGGCCTTCGTTGGTGGTTATAACTACTYTAAGCATGTTTGGGTTGGAACATAACCCCAAAACACATCAATTATTTACAAGAACTACCTCTTTCTCCTTTTTCCCCCTTTTCTCCATCTTTTCCATCTGGACCGTCCAGCCCTGGTGGCCCCATCGGGCCCGTAGACCCWGGTGCTCCAGGGGAGCCGTGGTTTCCCGGTGGGCCTGCTGGGCCTGGCAGACTGCAGACCAGCTGGGAGGAATGGACGGTGAAGTTTCGAGCCCTTTTTGATGCAGGGTTCGTCGACTGGGAGGCGACAAATGGGAGCAAACAGATCATCACCCACATCTGGAGCAKAGTGGGGACTGAAGACAAACAAGAATGTGATCATGTTAAATAAGATTTGGGTTTGTGTGTTACTCAAAACCAGACGATATGTAAAGGCCTAGCATTCATTGAAGGAATGCATAATGCATGCTTGTGTTGACAATTGGTGGAATTAACCATTTAGTTTCAACCTTGTAAAAGACGTTTTGCACTGACATCACAATATTATACAATATAGTATATAAAGACTCTCAGCTACTACCAAATATCATTTTAGCCTAATATCTGTAAAATTGACAGAGTTATCATCATGAAATGAGTTCATATCAAAAGTTAATCAGTTGAAGGACACACAATGATTACTTCCTAAGAGTTTGAATAATATCAAACCAGTGGTTCATGAGATATTTTGCTAACCAACGAACAGTTCATCTCCAACAGTTAACGATGAAGTTTTTAGTAAAGCTCTCACACAAATGAGTAACAGCTGGAGTGTGTTGTTAGCCACTGTCACACCAAACTGTAGCTCTTATTCTGTAAATTGGACTGAATTACAGACATTTTTGTGTTTTTCTTTAACCATTGAATTGGGTTGCTTTGAAAACTGAATCAGCTGTAGTTGTACATCCAATGATTACTTTCTGAAAATGATATTAAAATATCTCCAGTGGTTCATGATATATTTTAACACAGATTGAGTTGACTATTAATAGTTAATGGCAACATTTTAAACAAAGATCTTGTGCAATCTGTTAATCTTCAACATATTTATATACTTTGCTCTCCCACGACCGCATCTTTGCATTTTTTATTGTTACTGCATTTTTATTCTTCTTGTCTTATTTCACTGTATTTTATTGTTTTACTGTGTGCATACTGTTACCTTGCATTACTATTACAGTTTATATATTCTTTTGTTGCTGCTCTATACATACTTATATATGCATATTCATATACTATATTATGCATACATATTTTTACTTCAGCACTTTATGTAAATGATACATACTTGCATTTGTGGTTGGATGCTAACTGCATTTCATTGGCTCTGTACTTGTACTCTGCACAATGACAATGAAAGTTGAATTGAATATGTGTTGCAGATCAGTCTCAACTACTACCACACCAAATTTTAGTTCAATATCTGTTCCATTTGCAAAGTTATTGCAACATATATATTTATAAGTCAGCGGCTGTGGCAGCCATGGAGTCAGGCAGTTGTAGATGTTTATTCAGTAATTACTTTCCAAAAGTTTCCTTATAGTGTCTTCAGTTGATAAATCAAACACAAGAACACGTATGCACCTTTTGGCAGCGGGTGATAAAAATTCCAAAAAAAGGGGGGAAATAGACACAAAGTTTATGTATTCATTCCTACAGCTAAACAATCTGGGTTTGATTCTTTTACTTTTTGCTTTATGAGGAACATCAACTAGAGTCTTTCAAATTCAATATGCTGCACGACTGTAAGAAGACCAGAAAAGAAGAAGAAGAAAAAAAACTACTCACCCACATTAAAGTCATGGCCCCAGGACATTTTGCAGCTCTGTCTGCACAAAGGTGCAGCTTCCTCGCATGTGTTTTCAGTGATCGACTGGATCCAACATTCTGCAAGAGATCTGCTCAGCCCAGAGAATCACAGTCCAAAACATCCGCCCTGTTTCTACTGCAGGGCCCAGAAAATACRTTCAACATGATGTCATGATGTTCAGCCTTACACAGCTGGAACAGTCACACAACAGCTGTTCACAGACTCACTGGGAGAGAAACATGGAGAGGAGAATAAAAGCAAAGTCAGATTTAGAAACAACCTCAAAACATGAACTGCAGCTGTGTAAAACGAACTGTCACAGTCTTTATGTTTGGTGCTGTCATACAAAAGGTGAATGGTGGTAGGTTATCTGGGAATTATTGTYCAAATTAAAAACCATCAATTTCATAAAGGGTTAATACAGTATGTTGTTTGCAAACTTCAAATTTTTCTTTTTGGCAAAAATTACCCTAAAGTTAGAATTTAAAACTAAAAAAATAGGTAGTGTGTTGTTTTTGCCTGTTTCTTCCTGTTAGCAACGTATGTCAGGAACCATTTGACAAACTTTAAAATGAAACTCTTGTAATAATTACTGGATGGGCTCTACAACTTAACATTAGAAGTCAGTCTAAATCAAGATCACAGAATTAACTGTCTGTGGATTTTACAGAAATGGAGCTAAAATTTAGTGCAGTAGTAGCCAAAAGTTGTTCACATTGTTACTTTTAAGGTTTGACCAAAACAGCAACAGGTCTTAACTGAATCTATATGAAATGTTTATTTATTCACTCTACATAAATGTAAAATTATTGCAGCTCTTTTTGCTTTATTTTATGCACAGATACATGATATTGTACTAAGAAAACCTGATAATACAGGTGTTGCGGTTTGGAAAAACATACTTTGGAGAGTTTTGAAGCAGAATAAAATTATTTTATTTAAAATTGCTTTTGTGCTATAACACACCAAACTAAATTGTTTCAGGCCGATCAGTTAAAAACAAACATAACTGTGTTTTATTGACTTAGATGAGAAGATAAAATGTCTTTTTGCACAATTTCACATTTACTGGTCAATTTGCATAAAGAAACTGAAATAAACAATTTTAGACAAATACAAGTTTATTATAAAATGCCTTTTTCTAAAGCAGTAGAACAGATTCCAGTCATGACTAAAGGCTGAGAAAACAAATCAAAATCATACAAAACAGTTTTCTGCAGAATCTCTAAGAAGCATAATTGTTTGTGAATAAATTTAGTCAAATACTGTACAGGATGTTCTTAACATTTTTAAGTTATTATTATTGTTTTTTCCATCAGGGATAAAGATGAGGTCACTGTCCGAGAAAAGAAGCCATGGGATCATCGGGCCGGCAGCGTTTCATCCTAAAGGCCTCCAGCTCCTCCTCGGTTGGAGCTTTCACCTCCTTCAGGCTGTGGTACGGCCTCTTCCTCTCATCCAGCTGCATCATCGTTTCCACTTGTTTCACTCGCTTGTCCTCAGCTTCCAGAGCCTGGGTGGATGTTTGAGAGGTGAGTGGGGTTTAGTCACATTTACACTGACCTTGAATAAACAAACAAAAAACGTTTTACCTTTTTCAGCTTCTCCTTCTTCTTTTCTTCATCCTCTGAGTCGCTGCTGTCGGAGCTGTGCTTCTTGTTCTTTTTGTTCTTCTTTTTCTTCTTCTTGTCTTTCATCTTTTCTTGATGCATCTGATGATTAAAAAACACAAATATGACAAATTTATAATCTGATCTATGCCTTTAACCCCTTAACAGTCTTTGCTCCACCAGTGGCGGTTTCTGCCTTTAAACGTTTCCCAACGCTACCGGGGGCTTTTATTTTGAAATCCAGGTTGACAGACGAGTTCCCCCGGCTCTTACCTTTAGTTTGATACCCTTTACAAAAAAATCAAAGACATCAAAAAGCTTTTAAGGAATTTCAGGGTTGATTGTTAAGTCAGGGTCTCTTACCTCCAATAAAGTCTTCGGCTGTTCTTCGTTCTGCGTCTCTGTTACTCCCTCATCAAATGGAACGCAGTCTGAATTGTCCTGAAGGTTGATTTAAGACAAAAAAAAAAAAACAAAAGTTAAAATAAAAATGAATTTCTGTGCATCAAACATGTGACTGAAAGACTTACTATCTGAACCCCGGTTTCTCCTGTGCAGTAACTCTGTTTGACCATGGAGTGACAGCACTTGTACCCCCAGAAGCCATCCTTCCAGAACGAGCCCCAAATACACTACAAGAAAACAGAAAATCTTCATCAAAAAGGTCCCAACTTTAGCAGTGCTTTCACAGGAGCCGTCTCTCTGCCATCCTCACTGTGTGGTTGTTGATTAGGACGTCCTCCTCGTATTTGGAGCGGGCGACGGCCTTCTCCTGTCCTTTCAGGACGGCGCCGTGACGGGAGTACTCCACGTAGTCCTCCGTCTGAGCCAGCAGCAGCTCCCGCGGCGGAGCGTCCAGGTGCTCCTGACCCCCGTACTGAAGTCACACAACAGCAGAGACTCAGTCAGCTCGAATATGAGAAGTCATTAAGGCYTCTCAGGTTAAAAGACTGRAGGTTTACTTGTGGTTTCTAGAGTTTCCAAAAGTAGAACGGGAGGCAGAGCTTTTGGTTTTCAGACTCTTTTCTTGTGGAAACAATTTCCAGTTTGTTTAAGTCAGGCTGACACTGTTGGGGCTGGACGGTATGACCTCAAACTCATTTCACAGTTTAAATTGAATCCCTTCACAGTAACGGTATATATCATTATAGAAAATTTTCATAAAAGCAAAGATAATGTAATTTTTAGAGCTTTTTTCGGCAGAAAACTGTAATAATCAAACCCAGTATTTTTGCTGTAGTGCAAATGAACATAACAGAAGTACAAAAGAATGTTTTATATATATTGTAAAACGGTTTCAACAACAAAAACAAACATTCGCAAATTTTCAGCAATATCAAAATAAAGTGGATGTCATTACCGGTACTTCAAGTAAAATTAGTCATTTAGACATAAAATGTTCAATGTTATCTAAAATGTTATAGTGTGACAGGACCTTAAGCTGCACATAGTCCTGTCATAAAACTATTTTAGTTAACTAGAATATAAATGAGGTGAAGCCAAATAAATCTAACATCAGCCTGCCATACAGTGAGCTTCTGCCTGTTGAAGTGACCCACTGCTCTGCTGCGCGCTCATCTTCATCATCAGAGCAGAAGATGACTGTTACATTAGCAAGATGGATTTATGACTGAACGAACATCCACGTCTTTTTTTAATCACCTCTGTGAGTAACAATACATAAAAAACAAGTGTTTTCTCTCACAACTTGGGTGTAAAAAAACTACGGTTGTTAAAGCTTCGCTCTGCGTGACATGCAGCTGGAGAGTGGGTGGGGACGATCCCGATATAACTTTTCTACAGCAGGAGGGAGAAGTTTTGAGGATTTATTCTCTCTATACATGTTTTAAACACTATATTTCTTCAATTATTTTTAGATTATTTTGAACTCCTCCTGCTCAGTTGTCTCTGCACTCAGCCCTGTTGACACAAGTGCYATGACGTAAATGATGACAGGACAGTAGAGGGTAAATTTCTACTGTAGGCCAACTTCATACAGTTTCTACCACACAGCCCTACACTCTGTCTATTGTAGGCCTGTGTATTGGCAYGAATTTGGCGATACGATACATATAACAGAGAGGTCATGATACGATATATTCCAAAATATTGCGATACTGTAAGCAAGGCAATATACTGCGATATATTGCAATTTTTTTGTCCAAAAATTCTATTGAACAAAAACCGCTTACTGAAAAAAAAAAGAAAAGCTAATGTTTACTTACAATGCTAATGCTCTCTTACTCTCTGGCGCTCAAGAGGTAGAGTAGCCAAATAGCTGGCTCACTGGTGCCAACTAGTGGCCAGAGGTTGAACTACAACATAAAAATGAACGGTTGGCAAGAAGGTTGACATTTTAAACCTTAATTAAAAATTGATACAGGGCTTTAGAATATCGATACAGTATCGGGAAATGAAATATCGTGATATTTCAGTGTATCGATATTTTCTTACACCCCTAGTCTATTGTTACGACTAGATTGAAGACCTTCCTGTCTAATGAAGGCAAAGGTTTGATTAGGCTTAGGTTTCCTTAGTTAGGCTCAGACTGCTGGAGGACAAACTGAGCACATTTCCTCACTCTGCTGCTGTCGTTAGTCACTCTCCTCTACATGTTTGTTATAATTATTTATATCAATGTTTTCCTTTGTCTCTCTTCCTAAAGAAAAAGACATTTGGACAAGTCCTTGTGTGCCTCTTTCCTGTCCTGTCAAACCCAGCTGGTCGAGGCAGATCACTGTCTGTCCTGAGCCTGGAGGTTTCTCCCTGTTAAAAGTCTTTCCTTTCCACTGTTGCTAATGTGCTGCTCAGGATGGGAGACTGTGACGAAGTGAAAATTCAACGTAATCTGCTGGCTTCCTTAGATTAAGAARTTTTAACTAATTGGCCTTTATAACACACGTGTGTTTTTTATTCACCCTATATAAAATCAATCAAATTGAACTGAATTAAAGAGTTGACATTTATGACCAACATCAAAATTCAGACAAACAAATATCCAATTTTCAGCTTCTGACATCTACAAACAAACTAGTTGAAATGAAGCAGAAGAAAACACAAAAGAACAGAAACTATAAAAGCTATAGTAGTAAATCAACAAATCAATGTAGGTTGTGTACCTTCTCCAGGATGCTCTCCCTCTGCATTTCTTTAAAGTCCTCCTTCTTAACTTTGAAGGAGCGGTGGAGCAGCTCCAGCTTGGTGGGGTCGGCCTGCAGGTGGACCTCAGAGCCCTTCTCATACGCCTCCCAAGCAAAAACTGTCACAAAGAGGCAGCGGTCAGACAAGGGAAACTGCATTTCCTRGAACAGTGACTGGAACTTCATCAGCTACTGAAGATTAAGGCTGCCACAAACTATTATTTTTATAATCGATTAATCATCGATTATTTTTTCGATTAGTCGACTAATCAGATAATGTGTTGATTGAATAAAAAACATAGAGCTTATCGTGCCAGAATGCAGCTGCTATTATATGACCATCATTAGATTTTAGCTATATGCTAACTAAAAATAATTGCTGTTGAAGGCAAGTTCTGCCTTGCAGATATTACACAGGTTTCTCTTTCATTTTCTTAAAATGATCCCACACTTTTGAGCTCCGTTGTCAGGTAGCCATGATACCAGAGCCTGTCTGTATAATGTCTTGTGACGTCCACGGCCTACCCCAGTTACCAKTACTGTGCATGTGTGTCAAGGACAGAAAGGCAGATATGGCAGTGGAAGATGTCAAAGCAGTTTGGAGAGAAAAAGTAAAGAATAAAAACAACAAAAAAACAAAACAAAACAAAAAACGATTAATCGATTATTAAATTAGTCATCGATTATTTTAATAATCGATTAGTCGTCGATTAATCGACTAATCGTGGCAGCCCTACTGATGATCTGACTGAACGACACCTTTGATGACGACTGACTGACTTGTTATATCACAACAGCACCAAGGTTACAAAAACTTTCAATTCAATCATTTCAGCAGGAAATAAAAACATGAAAATTGTTTCAAAAGCCCTAAATTAAGATGTTCTGAAGAGGAGGAAAAGTATCTTTGGGACCTACGTTGTGTTTGAGCCATGCTGATCGTGTCCCCGGAGTAGCGAACAAAGTTGTCTCCAGCGTACCCCACTCTGGTAGACAAAAGCAGTTTATTAATATTTCAGTGTGATCAAGTGAGAGCTGGTACGAAAATATTACCCAGAACTCACTCATCAGGGTTCATGCCAGTGTTAGAGTACGGGTTCTCCCTCATGGCTCGGGTCTTTGGATCGTAGTATGCAGAGTTTGGATCCAGATTTCTCAAGTACTGGGAAGGACAAACAAACAAAATGATCAGTCAACTGTTTACATGGTGAACAAAAAAAGAGAAAAAGGAATATATGGAAAAACAGTTTTTGTCTGCTTACCTTAGCCGTATCTTCTCTAATACGCAGATTTCTGACAGTGATTCGTCTCTTAGAGTCAAAGTTCTGACCGGGCATGTCGATGTCATCTGCGTATTTATCCTCATCCTCGCCTTCGCTGTCATGTTCCCGTTCCTGCACAAGAAAACAAACAAACAGAGAAGTCATGTTTTCATCGTACATATACTTTACAATTCACCATTTACACGGTGTTACTGAATACTTACGGTTTGGTCAAGTTTTCCWGAGGCCAACTCATCCTGAAGTTTCTGTGCTTTCAGAGTCCTTTTGGCCTGAGATACAAATAAGAAAAATGAAGACTATGTTGCTGTTTCACATTAGGATACATAAACAGGGTTGCACATAAAATTTTTGTTCTGGTTCTCAGGGGAGAACCTAGGGTTGTTGCTCGGTGCTCATATTTRCCTAAGCTCATTTAACACATTTATCTATAGGGCATTTATTATCATCCTGTTCTGTTTTATGACACCTTCTATCAGCTGGCAATGTCTCTGGACATCATGCCAAATCACAGCTTTTTTATTTTTACTCTGCATACAGTTTGTAAACTATCTAAGTGGCCAATGAGCTGACCCATGGTCACATGTCATCTCAAACTGAACATTTCATGTTTAAATGTCTGTTAGATTACAATGACTCTGAGATGTACAACTCCTGTAGTTTGGCCTTTTAGATCTTTGGCCTTGTTTAAACCAGCTTTCCACACTCTCCAGACCAAGCAACAAATATGTTTTATTTGTTAGACTGATTTCTTTTTTTAAAGACTTTTTTTTATTCAAAAAGACTATTTAGATGGTTTCAAATCATGTAATCATTTCAAATTATTTATTCTTCATATTTTAATATTTATTGAATTACATTTATGCCAGAGCAGCTGTGCCACAGTATGATTCTAAATATAAACTTTTTAGCACATAAAGAACCTTGTTGTTACCATAAAATTGTGAAGAATGAAATTTGTGAATGTTTCTGATACATTAAAATAACATTTAAACCTCATTCTCCTAGAGAACGTGGCATGTTTTTATTTTTTTGGATGGGGGGTGACGTTAAACAGACTCATCTTTGCTTTGATATGTGGCAAATAAATGTTCTTCTGTTAGAGGTGGTTTAGAAGAACTCAAACAGTGAATCTCACAGAAAGACTCACAGCCTGCGTGCGCTGAGGCGCGTCCCTGTCTCTCAGGAGGAGAGAGTTTAGTCAATGATGCGAAGTTGGACAGATCTGTTCGATAACGATGCTCTGAACATATATTTAATATAAAGTTAGGTTTTAAAGACCAAAGTCTCTGGTAGTTCAGGAGAAAAGTGCAGGAGGAGATGTCAGGAATGATCACTGCAGCAGCTGCTTCCACTGTCTCTGCTGAAAACAGCTCTCACTGAAAGTCCCGCCCTTCTCTGCTCTGATTGGATAAAACAGCTCTGGAGTTCGTCTGATTCGTTGAAAGCAGTGTCAGTTTAACCCTTAGGGTCCCACTGCCCTTCTCTGACAGAACAACTATCCAGTCACACCAGTGAGGCTGGATTTTTTTTTGTATTGTTTTGTTTGTTTTTAAGAAATCTGGTTGCATTTGTGACCCTGCTAACTATTGTTTTCACAATCTCAGGTACAACCTTTGGTACGCAAGGGAGATTTATGACATTCCATCTGGTGGGCTTTTTCTTTTTTGATCCCGCATGTGCACCTGCACACCGCTTATGTGCAACTCTGTACATAACATTGTTTTACTGAGAAAACCACATAGCGGTCGACTTAAAGTTCATCTATGTGCAACAAAATAGACAAAACTCAGCTAATGTTAGGTGTGACTTTGTGAATCGTAGAAAGTTTTATTTAACCAAACCAGGACTAAAGCTGCTCTTCAGAGAAACTATTTTTACTTTTTTTATTTACTTGTTTCAAAAAACAAGAGTAACAGTCAACAAAAGCTTAATTTCCTCCTGCAGGCTTACCAGATCCACTTTGGCGTACTCCTCAACAATGCGCTGGTGCTCCTCAGGGTCATAGCCGTTCCAGCGATCACGTTTCCCATCGTAGTCCAACGAGAGCTGAACCTGAGCYTGTTCATCTGGAGCTATGCCTGTTCCTGTGTATCTGGCCCCAACTTTTCTGGGTCTCTGATGGGACCAAAACAATTAACAACTTGTTTAGACAGTGTATTTTTTTTCTTTTATGGAATAAAAATTAGTAATTTAAATATTTTACCTCCAAACAGTCTTTCTTCTTGTGCGTTATGGCCCCACAGTTTTCACAGGCGCCCTTTCGGAATTTAGTGGAAACGGTGTTCTGCATAAAGACAAAAATCAGGCTTTAAAATAACTTGACATGATCTAATGAGCGTTAGGCATCCAATTCATACTTGCCTCCTGCACTCCTCTCTTGTACCACTCTCCAACAGTTGAGAACTGCTTCTCATTTTCAGTCTGTGGTCTCTGATGCTTTAGCGTGGGCCTTTTGGATGGGTCGATGTACCACGGCACTGATGAAATATACTGTGGGATGTGAGGGTTAATATCTCTGGGGAAAGAGAAGAAACAATGTTTAACAAAAACATGTTACAGCTAATACAGAGCTTATCATACGGCTGATATACACCCCTCAATTCAAGCATTTTTCTAATTATTTTAAACTACTTAAAAAAATTATGACAAGGGTAAACAAGTTTACTAATCTGTTCAAAATAAAAATAAAGCAGAGTCACAAATAAAGGTTCGGGGGAAAACAAAACGATTTTCATATTTTAATAGCAAGCTATAAGGCAGTTGACTAGTAGTATCAGTTTGGGTATTTTGTCTAATATTCAAGCCCTMTTCCAAACTATAAAAACACAACAATATAAAGTTCAAGCCGTTTCAAAGACTCCCAGCACCCACAGGAACACACATGTACTCACTTTCCCTCCTCGTCCACCTCAGCTGGTGCGTTTCCGAGCTTCCTCTGCTCCTCCAGCTCCTTCTTCTTCCTCCAGTCCTCCCTGGTCATCTTCTTGGGCTCATCCAGGCCCACAATGCCCTCAGAGTTGGCGCTGGTCTGCTCGGCCATGACTGGATCTGCCTGCATCATCTTTCTGTAGTAAAACACAACAGCTGAATGTCCTATACACGAGACGAGTGCTATTTTTCTTACGACACTGACTGCTTCCCACAACTAACCGTTTAACACGAAAAAATATATATACTTACTAGTTATTTGTCTTGGTAAAATCGAAGAAAATGCTGAGTCAGGTGTATTTCCTTCGTAAACCTAGTTATTTTCTTCGCGAGTCGATCGTTTCGAAGCTTGTTTGTGTTTTGGTTAATACGCCATCGTCGCCATTTTATTTGTGCTGTCTTGCGTCATGCGTGCTTTCTTCTTCGGTGGTGTTTTTTGTTGCACTACTCTGAATCGAGATCGGAAACAGCGACATCTAGTGGAAACAACGACCTTTTTGAGCAGACTCAACACTTTATACATTTTTTTACACAGTTTGACATGTTTACTTGTTTTTATTGGATTTTGTACATTTTTCCCTTGTTTTGAAAATGTTACACAAATGATTTAATATTAACTGGATCAACAGCTAATTTTTATCCAGAGTAAGGAAGTATTTCAGTTGGAGGGGGGCTGTGGGCARGCATCACTAACCACTTGTATGTTTTGGCAAATTACAACTGACAAGATTATTTAGCATTAGGCAAAAATAATGCCACTTACACCCAAAACATTACAAAATAAAAGGTACTTAAATGCTCCATGACTAAAATCGTAAAACTTTGCACACAAACATACATGTATAATAAGACTTGATTTAGAAAACATCTGTATTGTTTGACGTTAGTTTTTGTTTGACTGTTTAAATCAGGGACAAGTCAAGCTCTCAGTGAATGAGAACAAGACCGTCAATTTCCGTCATCGGGTTGCAAAGGCAGCAGGTCTAAGAAAGAAACCCAGACATCCCTCTCCACGGTGATACTGGGGGATACCAAGGTGTTCCCTGGACAAAGAGGATCCCTTCAGGGAGTCCTGGGTCTCCTACTAGCGGGACGTGCCTGGAACACCTCTTAAGGGAGGCTTTCTAATTACATGCACAAACCACCTCAAATTCCCCATTAATTCCATAAATATGTATTTGTATGTGTACGTCCTCTGGATGCTATAGCACCCTCAGCACCCCTGCTTCCCATGGTCTTGTTCTCATCCACCGAGAGCTTGACTTGTCCCGATATAAACCATCAAACAAAAACTCAAGTCTTTCAAACAACACATATAATTTGCCTTTTTAACATCGTTTGATTAAATAAAATTCATATTTAAGAAACTGATCAACAAAATACAAACTTAGAACTCTCTCCACAACAATTAAAATTTCTTCTACTAGATTTTTTCACTTGTTAAAAAACTGAATACTAAAATAATATTGTATAATTTTCTTTTAATTTAGTGAGTGGAAGAGAAGTAACTCCTGGAAAAGTCCTGGGACTGAAAGCAGGTGGACATCTCTTCCCCACCCTTGACTGCATATTCAGAAGTAAAAACATTTAACATTTAATGTAATAAGAGTCCAAACACGTTGTGTGATGAAAATCATCAATACTCTTGATGATTCCAGTGGGTTTTATTGTTTTTCACTTCTCACAAGCAGGTGCTGTTTAGCCTAACTGTAACATGGACCAGTGAGAACACTATTCTGACGACTCCTGGAAATATAGAAAGAGAACATTAAAGACGACAACAGAAGACGTCCTTGTGATGAGTGAGTTTGGTCAGGCGAAACGTATCACCTCTTTTTTTACAGTCCAAATATTATTGTTATTTTCTTTTTTTTTTTTTGAAAAAGCCTAGAAATGTAAACGGTGAGAACAAAAAAAAAAAAGACAAAACGAACAAAACAAGAGCACCAAACACAAACAAAAAAAAAAGAAAAGATTTGGACAGAAGTAAAAAGAGACTGAGAGAAACGACAGTTCTGTCTTTAGCACCAGAACACATCCCCGCGGTCAGTCTGGAGATGAGAAGGCAACCATGTACCACAGTGAAGGCAGTGCTGCGTTCAAGTACTGTAGGTACCAAAAGATTCAACTCCTTTAGTTCTGTCAGTGTTTACAGAGAGCTGTTACTTATCATCATCCTCCTCCACCTGTCCCCACTCCTCCACTTCTCCATCTTCTGCATCTTCATGGACGTACTCATCCCAAGTGTCATACACATCCCCTCCTTCCTCCTCCTCCTCCTCCTCCTCATCTTCCAGATGATTTCCTCCATACGGTGGCTCATCCACCTCGCCCTCCACTATTTCCATCTCCTCGAGCTCATCCTCACCCTCCTCCGCATCGTCTTCTTCCTCATCATCATCGTCGTCATCATCGTCTTCCTCCTCTTCCTCATCTAAACCACACACATCCTCGTCCCCCGCCTCCCCGTCCTCCCGGGACGCAGGTTTCTCTTCAGTTGTGTCCATGAGGTAAGACCTGCTGGAGGGCGTGAAGCTGGAGGTGGCGGTCTTGGTGTTGATGTAGAGGCGAGGGGGCGGCTCCCGACTGGACGAATCGGTCGGGCCGAGAGGGGAGCCGACGGGGGCAGAGGACGAAGAGGACGATGAGGACGATGACCAAGAAGAGGCGGCCCCTCTGGAGCGCGGGACCAGCGAGGGGGAGATGGGCACGGCGGTGGCGGCTCCAGGCCTCACGGAGGCCACGTCGGGCGTGTATTCGCGGATCTCCCCCGGCTCCAGCGGCTCGGGTCCACATGGGTCGTGCTCTCTGCAGGACAACTTGCCGTCCAGTTTGGAGATGAAGAGCATGCTGTCCCGGTGCTCCTTGCAGTACGAGCTGGGGCACATCTCGCAGAACGAAGCCGCTTCTTTACCGCACTCGTCACACTGGTGCCACGGACACTCCCACCGGCCTGGAGACGAGAGGAGAGTCGGTCATCTGAACCGGAAGGACAGCTTCTGGTTTGGGTTTAAAGGAACTGAACACTCACTGCTGCCTTCACTGCAACTTGAATTTAAAACAGTCAAATCCTCTGCAGTTGCTTCGTGTTGTTAATAATTATAGACTATTGTCAAAAAGGTATAAATTTTATTAACATCAGAAAAACAATGAACTCTTGACTACTGTTTAATATTTTAATAAAATTAAGCTCATAAGTGTAATTTTGTTTTCTGTTTAGTTTAAAATTCTGTTTTTCCATTTGTCACTAAATGCATCATCACTGCATGCACCAATGAACATTAGCAACTAATAAAATTGGCCTTGATGGGAAAAAACATTTAAATATATTGAATATTGAAAATTTATTGGAATATGTATAAATATTATACACTTCCTGTCACCTTTTATACCAGAATTTTAAATGAAGTTCATCCTTTAGAGTTAAAGCAGTTTAGCAAATTTAAATCTTGAAAGCGATTTCGTGCAAGACCCCACGCAACATCACGTGATCTCAAACAGAGCTCAGAACGTGTGTCGAGGAAGACTCTCAGCTACCACCACACCTGGTGGTGGGCACAGCTAACAAAAGAAGTTAGGTTCACTAGCAACTACTCCGCTATACAAGAATCTTAGCTCTGCTAACACTAAACTGCTAAACAGATCAAACCTTTGTGGAAGCTAACACTAACCGCTAAGACGACTGTCAATCAGCCTGTGTCTTCATCTCAGTGAATTATTGTACCAGCAGCTTAAATTTATCATATTTTAAAGGTAAATTACACACCCACTACCAATACCTTACTAATACCTCCTGCTCACAAAGCTCCGTATCCAAAAACCTGCATATTCTTTTGTTTAAAATCTGTCTATTCAGTAAGAAAAGTAACAAATGTTTGTCCTTTTTTTAAAATCGTTCTTTTGATCAAGTTTGAATTTTTAAAAATATTGTTTGAAGTTGGTCAGTGGCAGTGGTGGGCAGCGCTAATCCAAAAATGAGCTCCGCAATTTCTAAAGCGCTTATGAAAATATTTAGGTCCGCAACTTCAAAAGTGCTTATGCCATAGAAAAAAATAGCGGAGGCTAATTTTAAAGCGCAAGTTCAATTTGACACTTACTAGCTGGCAACAATTCATGTACAATATATGCACAACACTGCCAACTAGTGGTGTATGAACTCTTTTACAACTTAATTCTACAACCATTGATTCCTGGGGATGTGATTTCCTGACACAGAACTTTGGCTCCTGGTGTAAAGATTAAAAAGTTGTTGAGGATTGCTAGTTCGGGCTGCTTCTTTGTCTTTTTCTTTTATTTGTTGTAGATTTTTCATTAAAGAAGCATCAATAAAGCAATTTTAAAACTTTTTATTGGAAAACTGAAGCGATGCATTCTGGGTACATGACGGATTTGATTTGTGWCGGGAAACGAAAGCACGGAGTACAGGAAACTATCTTCCCTTCAAAATAAGAGCTTGGATTTTAAAGTTTTCCATGTAGTTGCTCCAGTTGACCACTAGATGTCTGTCTTTGTCAGCATAAGTCTATAACCCGTTGCTARGACCAATTACATCAAGTATTGAGCTCCAGCGTTTAAACTTTTTTTTAAAAAAAAGGAGCTCCGATTGTAAAGTAAAATAAATCAATACATACAAAATTGTAGTACAGATTACAAACATCAACTGTTTTTGCTATTGCCTTCCTGCTACATAAGCTGACACAAAGCATTGTGCGAAATCAGAACCCTGACCAAAAGCAACAGTCAGCAAAGATGTATACCTTCTCAATAAGTGTGTTTATCTGGGAGGGGTGTTGTTGGATAGATCACGTGTGTTGTGATTCATTGACAGCCATACCTTCCGTTGTTCAAGATAATGATGACTGGTAGATAATTAGTTATTAGCGGTACTTCATTTTAAATTTTAGAAAGCGCAAATCCGTTTATGAATTATAAAAATTAGTAGGACCGCTAAAGCACAAATGAAATATTTAGGTCCGCAATTAGCGGATTTGCGCTTTAGCGGGCTGGTGCCCACCACTGGTCAGTGGTTTCCAAGGTTAGCAAAAAAGCTAATCTGCTAAATGAGAAGCTAGTTATGCTATTAGCAGAACCCCGCTCACCGCTGACCACACCAACTTCAGCCCAACGCCTGTCAAACAGACTGATTTTTAGGCATTTTTTGTGTTGGATAGAGTCAGTTGGCTGTGGTAGCCATCTTGAATTGAGTTGACTTCAAAAGATGGAGCTGATACGTATATGATGGAGGTAAATAGAAAAGGATGTACTAACCACTCCCAGCTAATGCTTATTTTAATCACGGTTTTCCAAAACCTGGGCTACTTAAAGCATGACTCGTGACAAAGCTTTATCCAGAAGAAGGATCATTTGTCAGCTACTTGTGTTCTGTACGCTCTCTTCAGGAGTTACTGAGTGTAATCTGAGGTTGTTAAACAAAACAAAACACCCCACAGAAAAGAGAAGTTTAACGTCACTATGCCACCCAACACTGGCCCCAAAGAAAAAAAGGTTTGGTTCTTCAGTCCTGTTGTATTAAAACACGATGGACACGTCATTAAACCCACAGAAAATCACATCAAGCGGTCAAATACTTAAAAACTGAATCAATACCTGCAGGTCTTTTGGCCAGGTTGAGGCAGTCAGCGTGGTAGACTTTGGGACACCCCGGCTTCTTACAGGACACAATCTGACCCCCGTCCCCACAGCTGAAGCACTCGTCTTCCCTCTCCTTCGTCACTTGTTGTTTGGTCTTCCTCTTCATGCCGACTCTCCTCCTCCCGTCCTTTACTTTCACCTTCTCAGCTGGTGGCTGGTTCTAAACAACAACGGGGAAGAAAACACTTACACRTTACACCAGGGCTATTCAACTAAACTGCTCCGGGGGCTACAGTCAACAGCTGAGGAGCCAAACATCCAGCATTTAAAGTTATTGTGTAAATAAACCAAGTATTACAAAGATATGTTACCTCTGAATTAGTTTATTTTGCTGCATTTAATCATGAACACAACATACAGAACCCTATAAAAAGTAGCGCTAATTAAACAAAAAGAACACATTATGCCTCCTATTATTAGACACAAATAATATTTTGACATCTCGACTTGCCAAATTTTCAAACCAGTATTATTTTCCCTTTCATCATTTTATCTTCAACTGCTTGTAGTTTTAACTGTCTTGAGTGTTTATAGAAATGGTTTTTACCAGCTTCTAGCCAAGATTCTGATGTTTCTGTAGATACCAAACATGTCTGTGTTTAACTAAATGAACTTAGAGTAATTAAAGTAGAAAACCAGGGGGTTTGAGCTTAAGAGATGAATGGACCAATTGGTGGGCCGAACTTTGGTCACTCGCGGGCCGGATGTGGCCCGTGGGCCGCCAGTTGAATAGCCCTGCCTTACACTTACTTACAGGTTGTAACTTTAGCAGGGCTGGGACTTTAACGCTTTAACTGTGATTAATTAATTAATTAATTTACAGAAAAAAATAACTTAAAAAATTAAATCCCATTCTTAGTTCCCTACTTCCTGTTGTGAGTCTCTCTCTGTAGCTTATATAATAATAAATTATAATTTTTTTTTACTTATTTACTGATATTCAAAAATAGCTTTAATAGAGGGTCACATGAATATTTGAACCTGTTCTGAGTATACAGGTGAACCCTGTAGCTCCTCCCTGAGTTCAGCAGGATGGATTCTGTCAGTTCTGACAGAGCTCCTGCAGTTTAAGAGGAATATGACCCATAATCTTCATTTCTGTTCAGAAGAGTTAATCTGAGTTTTATATTTGATTGTTAGGCTTTATTCACACCTGGAGTTGGCTTTAATCTGTGCTACTGAAACATTACATTAGATTAAAAAGTAAATGTTTTTTTTTTTCTTTAGATTTAAGTCAAGGGCGTAACTTTGTGCTGAAAGTTGGTGGGGACGCACCGTGGGGGACGGAGTCTGACGCACCCACAGTTGTGCGAGCAGGTTTTTCTGTTGTTCATGTCTTCAGTGTGTGCTCAGTTTAACTGTCTGCACCCATCAACAACTGAACACCAGATGTTTCTGTTGTGATGCAGTAATACTCAAACCATATTAACTGAGATTATGTTCACCTTCATTCAACCATGTACTGTACCAGCCCTTTAAACTCACTAAGAATACAGTTTGATAATCAACCATAGTTTCATACAGCAGACACACAGGTGTGTTGGTTTATTCTCACACATAAGAAGTCTTATAATATTAAAGGACACACTGGAGGGGGGTCTGGGGGTCCTCCCCCAGAAATTTTTGAATAAATTAGAAGCTATTTCCTGATTTCTAATATATTTTAACAGGTTGTTAAAGATACTTTTACTCTCCATAAACACCTGATTTAATGACTGGAGACAGATTCTTCATTAAACTAGTTGCATCGTCCTGTTTTTAAATTCAGTTATAACTCAGATAATTAAATTAATGTGATAATTTATCCCAAACAAGCTTAGAGGAGGTTTTTACATTTATTTATAAGATCGATATGTGGAGGTTTGGAACTGATTAGAAGCTAATGATTGATGGATGGACATTTATTTACTGACCTTTTATTTAACCGGGAAAATCCCAATTATGAAAACTAATTTCTACCACTTCCTACAAATACAAGTTAAATTTAAATAAGCCTATCACTTTTCTACTGGTCAAAATAAAATAAATTGTTAAGCATGCTAGATTATGTCTTTATATCAGTAATTTATTTCATTAAGTTCACACAGCTGACTAGAATGTACTCAAAATAACATTTTATATTTCCTTCACACCTGCCCATCACCTTCATCTCTTACCTGAGACACCCTGTCCTACCTGAGACCCTCTGTCCTACCTGAGACACCCTGTCCTACCTGAGACACCCTGTCCTACCTGCTGCCTCTGACTCTCTGTATCCAGCTCTACATCAACAGATAGATTAAGTATTATGTTTTTACTGCACCTGAATTCAGTCAGCTTTAAAAAGTCAAGAAAATAATGTGTAAATTACGAAGATAGCAGATTAAATTAGAGAGATAATCTGTGATTTATGAATGTAAATTAAAACAGGGAATCAATAAATATCACCAGAGTGGACCTGGACTCAATCTTAGCATTAAAATACAGTTTAACTGATAAAAAAAACCCTCAATAATAATGTCATCACTAAATGATTGCTAACGTTAGCTGATAGATAACTAGCAGCAAGCTAACTTTTCATAAGAAAAATAACTGTCCTACTTTTTGACTTATTTTTGGTCCTTTGTAAAGAATAAAGTTTTCCAGGAGCTGGACGTTATCAGACCATTACCTGCTCCAGTAGCTCTGAGGCTCTGACCACCACTTTGTTTTACAGCAGGCAGCTAGCACCACCCCCCGCGCGTGTATCTGCGTGCGCGAGTGTACGTGTCTGCACTTCAGACTCTGAAGTTCAGAGAAAAGGAAGGAAGGGAGGGGAAAGGTGTCGCAGGTTCTCAGTAGCGCTCCTGTACGGGATGAGAAGCACTAGCAGGAGCGGGGAGGGGGCGGAAGACAGGAAGCGGCGCAGCTACTTTTCTTTTCTTCTTCTCGGAAAAAGGTAGACACAGCAGTTGCTGCTGCCTACTGTCGGGAAATGTAGATGCATGCAAAGGAAAAAAGATGTGCGATTATTGGTGGGGACTGTCCCTGTCCAGCCAAAGTTGGTGGGGAAATGTCCACACCAGTCCTTCAGAAAGTTACGCCCTTGGTTAAAGTCTTTTCATACTTTGATTCAGCAAAAAACTATAATTTTCAAATTGCTATTTGATAAACATGCGATTAAAATGCAATCAATCAAGATTAATTAATTACAAGGTTTGAAATTAACTCAATTTTTTTCGATCGCACCCCAGCTCCAAAATGTAGCCAGAGCTACTCCGAGGGCCATGTGGTTTAGGCCGATTTACCTTTGGTCGAACACCCAGGAAGCCGCTACAGTTTGGTGCTCCGCATTTACAGACGGTCTTCCCGTTCCCGCGACACTCAAGGTTGTAGTTGAAAGTCAGCTCCACACCTAAAAAGGCGTTTCAGATTCATGTAAAAACAAATTGTTTGATATTTCTGCGACAGATAAAAACGAGACGCGTTCAAACCTTCTGGGATGTCCTGCAGAGCAAACAAGCCAACCCTGGTGTCCCCGTTCACTGTCCACTTCTGAGTCTCACAGTTGGGCTGGCAGCTGTGGTTCATAAAGCGAGCCTGGTTCCCTTTGGGTCCAGCATCAATGATCCGGTCCTGCATTAAGAACAGAAAGGGCAGGTTTGGTTAGCAGGAATCGCCCGAACTTCACTATAAATCCAGTGTCGTTGGAAGGGAATCACCTTGTCCAGCGTGAGCATGTAGAAGTTACAGATGTCGTTCTCCTGAGCGTGTTTGATCCGGGCTCGACACTCTTCCTCGTCGATCACCTCTCCCACGTACTCACTCACAAACGTTCCCTGAAAAGGACCAAAGACAAACGATGAAATAGAAGTCGCTGCTCAAAAAAAAAGATAAATTGTTGTCTGTCACAGTCGTCTACCTTCTTGATGTCCGACACAGCCCGCAGACCCCAGCCGCAGGACAGCGACCTGAAAATCTCCAGAGAGGTGTACTCGCGCTTGATGAATGCCTGGTTCTGACAGCGCTCGCCCGCCGTGCACACCTGAGGGTGGCACTCGTACAGCAGCATGCGGTTAATGCACTCCGAGTCCACGCCACAGGGGTTTTCGTCAGACGCCTTGCAGTTGCAGCGCGGGATCTCCGACAGGTCGGCCGTGATGATCTGCACCTTCCCGATGGGCCGGTTCACCTGAGGAGACACAGGCAGGGACAAGTAATTTTATTATTGTGCATTTTTGTAAGGTGAAAATTAAACACCCAGGCTCAAATACGGACTGCATGTACATCGCTGAGCTTTGGTTTAAAGGGATCCACGGTTACCTCTAACCTCTAACATTAGAGATTATAATCATTTACTTCAACTATAAAAAGACTGTAGGCTGTTAAGATTTATACATTTTAAAGTATGAATGCATTTGAATCTGTGTGGATTCAGAAAAAAACACAATGAATTCAAACTTTTACACCCAAACCTTGTTTTTAAAAGTCACTGAAGTTGTGTGCTACATAATCATCCCATCCTGAAAAAATAATGGTTCCATTAAAATGTTAAAAAGTCAAAAATGAGCTTGACATCCACACACACGGRGGGTGTATGTAAGGTCCTGACCTGTAACTGTGTAAACAGGCTTCCAGGGTTGGACATGGTTCAGCGGAAAATCAGRGGAACTGATTTTTTTCACTTAGCTTTTCATTAACTTTACCCGTTAGTGAACCAGTTAGCTTCTGCTAAATTAGGTTTTGCCATCTTTAAGTGTGCTAACAGCTAACTAACAAGCTAACATCAACAGGTTTGCGTCAGCCCCACCTGTCTTCAGCTGGAAGGGGACGAAGACGTGAGTCAAACTGAGTAACCATTGTCTTAATAGTTAGCAATTAACTGTTAGTGTTAGCTTCCACTAATTTTACTTGTTTAGCTGTTTAGTTAGCTTCCCCTAAATTGTTTACATGTTTAGTGGTTTAGCATTAGCTTCCTCTAAGGTTTTTACATGTTTAGTGGTTTAGTGTTAGCTTCCTCTAAGTTTTTACATGTTTAGTTGTTTATCATTAGCTTCCTTTCAGTTTTTATGCATTTAGTGGTTTAGCATTAGCTTCCTCTAAGATTTTTACATGTTTAGTGGTTTAGTGTTCGCTTCCTCTAAGGCAGAGGAGCCCAAAGTGGGGCCCGCGGGCCACATTTGGCCCACCAAGCCATTTGATTTGGCCCACCAACAGTTGCCAAAGTTACAAGGTTGTAACCTGTTATCCTATGTAGAAACACAGTATTTCCATTGGTCAAATGATTATATAAAAGGGCTGTAGTGAAGGTAGTTTTCAGTCATGGTGCTGACTTTATCTTTGATTTAATAGGATTAAACATGAAACATGAAATGACAACAAGAAATATTTAGATCAGATTTAACCCCACATGTAGATTTGCACACTTTATAAGGCCACAAAACTCATATTTTATCACTTTATGATATGTCCCATGAGCCTTTGCTGCTTGAGCGTATGGCAGACTTTCTCCAAGTGCTCAGACTAAAATAAAAGAGGACCATTGCACAGCTTAATCATTAAAAATAAAGGACTTTATTTACAAATATTTGTATTTCATGTATTATATAACTGCATTTGGCCCGCAGCCKTGGATAGATTTTCATTTTGGCCCCCTCGGGGAAAATGTTTGGGCACCACTGCTCTAAGGTTTTTACATATTTAGCGGTTTACGGGTAGCTTCCTCTAAGTTTTTTTTAAACATATTTAGTGGTTTAGTGTTAGCTTCCTCTAAGTTTTTTACATATTTAGTGGTTTAGTGTTAGCTTCATCTAAGGTTTTTACATATTTAGTGGTTTAGTGTTAGCTTCCTCTAAGGTTTTTACATATTTAGTGGTTTAGTGTTAGCTTAATCTAAGGTTTTTACATATTTAGTGGTTTAGTGTTAGCTTCCTCTAAGTTTTTTACATATTTAGTGGTTTAGTGTTAGCTTAATCTAAGGTTTTTACATATTTAGTGGTTTAGTGTTAGCTTCCTCTAAGTTTTTTACATATTTAGTGGTTTAGTGTTAGCTTAATCTAAGGTTTTTACATATTTAGTGGTTTAGTGTTAGCTTCATCTAAGGTTTTTACATATTTAGCGGTTTACGGGTAGCTTCCTCTAAGTTTTTTTTAAACATATTTAGTGGTTTAGTGTTAGCTTCCTCTAAGTTTTTTACATATTTAGTGGTTTAGTGTTAGCTTAATCTAAGGTTTTTACATATTTAGCGGTTTACGGGTAGCTTTCTATAAGTTTTTTTTAACATATTTAGTGGTTTAGTGTTAGCTTCATCTAAGGTTTTTACATATTTAGTGGTTTAGTGTTAGCTTAATCTAAGGTTTTTACATATTTAGCGGTTTAGGGGTAGCTTCCTCTAAGTTTTTTACATATTTAGTGGTTTAGTGTTAGCTTAATCTAAGGTTTTTACATATTTAGCGGTTTAGGGGTAGCTTCCTCTAAGTTTTTTACATATTTAGTGGTTTAGTGTTAGCTTAATCTAAGGTTTTTACATATTTAGCGGTTTAGGGGTAGCTTCCTCTAAGTTTTTTACATATTTAGTGGTTTAGTGTTAGCTTAATCTAAGGTTTTTACATATTTAGCGGTTTAGGGGTAGCTTCCTCTAAGTTTTTTACATATTTAGTGGTTTAGCATTAGCTTCCTCTAAGGTCTTTACATGCTTAGCGATTTAGTGTTAGCTTCCTCTAAGGTTTTTACATGTTTAGTGGTTTAGCATTAGCTTCCTCTAAGTTTTTTTTTACATATTTAGTGGTTTAGGGTTAGCTTCATCTAAGGATTTTTTTTTACAAATTTAGTGGTTTAGCATTAGCTTCATCTAAGTTTTGTTTACATATTTAGTGGTTTAGGGTTAGCTTCCTCTAAGGTTTTTACACATTTAGTGGTTTAGCGTTAGCTTCCTCTTAAGTTTTTTACGCTTAGTGGTTTAGTGTTAGCTTCCTCTAAGGTTTTTACATGTTTAGTGGTTTAGCGTTAGCTTCCTCTAAGGTTTTTACATATTTAGTGGTTTAGGGGTAGCTTCCTCTAAGGTTTTTACATGTTTAACATTAGCGAAGCTTTATTTTTAGCTAGCAGATTAAGAGTTAAAAAAAACTAACATTCTGGTTAGCTGTGCCCACCTCTGCAGGCTACAGAGTGCAGCAGTTTATTTACCTTGATGTGTTTGTAAGGAGGTGGTTTCTTGTCATTCTTCCGGTCCTCCTGTAGCTGCTTCATCTGCTTCTCCGCCTGCAGCTCTCTGAACCGTTCTGCAGCTTCAGTCAGAGCTGCAGAAACAAAACACACAAGTTTCACCACAGCTCAAAGCAAAAGGAGGYGAGGATTCACAGTTGGATGCTCATGACAAACACATACCTTTCTTATACACAGCGTCTGCACCTTTGCCCATTTTCTCTATGTTGTGAGTGTCGCCCTCCATGTAGGGGAAGACTCTGGCCTGATACGTCCACACAAAATCTTTGGAGCCAAAGAAGTGCACGGGGAACTCTCCCACGTCGTGCTTCATCCTCAGAATATTATTGGGGACATATTTGGACAGGCAGACTTCTGCAGGCCACCATCTGAAAGGGTCAGATCGGGTTTCAGGGACAAAGACACGGTACACTGGCTGCTGCGTGGAACTGTTGTGTGTATGGATTAAGAGCTGTTGAGCCCTTACCTGTAACGCCCCCATTTGACCCACAGTATGTCCTTAATACGAGGTTTCCTTCCGGCTTTGCAGTCGTTGCAGTACCAGCTACCCTGAGGCATCTCGATGTTCAAACACTCGCGGTGAAAAGCAGCGGGACAGGCTTCACAGCAAAGCAAACTGCCCCCTGAACAATTACAGGAAGTTTGTTTTATTTGTTGCCCAAAATACTAGTCTTCTACAGACAAAGAAGGATGAAGCAGCACAGTTTTAATATTTAAATAAGAAGAAAACACTGAAGCTGGTTTATTTTCAACTAACCAAACACCATCTTTGTTTGGCTTCTTTTTTTTTTTGGCCTTCAAAAGGACATTTCTTATAAAAACAGTGAAAGAATGAAAGAAAATGTTTGTGAAGTATGACTGAATTATTTCAACTGCAGACATTTAATAAGTGATTAATCACAAGTTACCTAACAACACATTTTATTTCTCTTATTTAGTTTGAGTTAATGAACAAGAGTGTAGAGGAAAAAGGGTGAAAAAACCCTAATTTTGACATCTGCAGGCACAAATGTAAATATGTATTAACTATATTATATATAATATATTTTGGTAATTTACTTCACATTGCAGTAAAATGAAGAACTTACAAAACAAAAACAAAAAAAAGGTAAGTTATTATAATCTGACTAAAAGTTTATTCAGGGTTCCTATAGCTTAAGGCTAGTTAAATCTAAGACTTTTTAATGCTTTTTAATGCCACTTGAAAGGAAATTTAAGATCGTCACAATAAACACAAATGTGAAAAATAAAAAATTACAATTTTACCCAAATGTTTATTTTAATGCAAAACAACTTGCTGTGGTAAATTTGGCAAATTGTTTAAAAAAAGTTACCAATTATTTTAATATTTTAGACAAATGCAGTCATCTTATTTACAAAGTGTTAACATTTTTAAGACCTCTGAAAGATTGATTTAAGACATTTTAAGGCCTTATCTTTGGATTGATGAATTCAATGCCTTTTAAGATTTTTTAAGGATTCGCGGGAACCCTGTTATTTCTCCTCCCATTTTTTATATTTCTTGTAATCTTCTTAATTGAGCTTCAACAATATTTTTTTCGATTTTCTAAAAGGTATTTTAAATGTCTTTTTTTGTGGCTTTGACTGCTCTTTTGCATATTTTCGGTTCAGTCACTGTGTCTGACTGTGACACCATATTAGACTGATTAAATAAGAAAAGTGAACAAGTGGAGGACAAAATAAAAGCATAAGAAAACAAAATGTGCCAAACAGGAGCAGCCCGAGTAGGGAAGAAAACCATTGTAAGGCTTTCAAAAAAATGTAGAAATAAAAGCCACTTTAAAACATTACACYAAAGCCTAGAAGCTTCGAATAAAAATAAAAGTATAAAAAAATTGAGGGATGACTTTTCAAAAGCACCTGTTTTATGTTGTTAATTACTTTCAAAACCTGAGCAGAGATCAACGAGGACGCAGTTTTCCGGTTGTCTGAACGGTGACAGAGCTGCACTGATTCCCCGTCTGCAAACATGGCTGACGTGTGACAGAGACACGCGGGCGTCAGGCTCACCTTCAGAGCAGACGAAGCACCAGCTGACGTTTATGTGTTCGTGGTTTTTGCAGCCTTTGCGGGGAGTGAAGTGGTTCGGACACAGGAAGCTGTTGTTGGCGAGAACCAGGCTGCCTGCCGCCATGCAGTTATCGTTGGCGTGATAGGCCACGGGACAGCGCACGCATCGAGCCAGCCGACCTGAGACACGCGTGTAACAAGTCAGAGCTTGAGCAAGATTTTAGTTTAAATATCGCGCGCCTTTTTGACTTTGACAGACATAAAAACATCAATTAATCATATTTAATGGAAGCAGACCTTTGGAGCTGCAGACGTTGAGAGGGTTGGTGATGTAGCAGGACAGACACACATGCAGGGGGCAGCGGAAGCCTTTGTTATGTGTCTGAGTGGCAGAGTAGGCCAGGATGCAGTCAGTGTGGAAGAACTTCCCACAGAGCGGAATAATGCAGCGCTTCACCCCACTGTCGGCTTTTTTGCACACAAAACACGAGTGGACACCTGGGGAGAAAAAAAAAATCAGAAACAAATTAAAAAGGTGCAGCATCTCTGCTAAAATTGTGCGACTGCGTGGATTATTGAGAATGCTGAAAGCTTTTTAGGTCTTGAGCAGACGCAAAGCAAACCCACCGGTTTTACATTCCTGACAGAGGAATTTCCCTTTGGGAGCCGTCGACAGGTTGATGCACTGCAGGTGGAAGGCTCCAAAACAGGGGCCGTCACACACCAGCAGGTCTCCGGTCCTCTCACACACCTGCAACCGACAGGAAAAATAACGACCCGCTTGCTGCAAAACACAGGACGCTAACAAACGGCTCTTTCAGAAGACGCCCCGTACCGTTACCAACGCTTGTTCTGACCAAGGTTAGAATAGTTTTGGATTTTTCATTATAGTTTTATTTTGTTTTGACTTTTTTCTTTTAATTCATTTAGTCTTAATTAGTTTTTACTGTGGATTTGCTAGTTTTTATTAGTTAGTATTGCATTTTTAATGCTTAGTTTTAGTTTAGTTTAGTTTTTATTAGTTCTAGTATTAGTTGTTTTTTTTTTACAGTTTGAATAAACATATTTGCCAATGCATCCTCAAGCTTGTGATGTTCCTGTGAGTTAACTAACCAGCAGCTGTTTGGTCACTAGTTAAAGCAGTCCATTACAGCGACACCTTGCTAAAATAATTGCATAACTCAATTATGACAACTAAAACCTTGGGCGATTACTTTAGGACGATGATAATAGTTGTCTGCTTGTTTTTCACAGGAGCTACAGAGAGAAACTAGGGTGTCAAGATAGACATTAGCCATCTTGTGTCAGCTTGCTTCATGCAGTTTTTTCCTTGAGAAGTATTCCACATATTTTATCACCTGTTTCCACTACAAGACTTGCTTTTATTTTTCTCGCATCATATTCAAAGAATTCCCAAAGTGGATTTTGCTGCTTTCTCCCAACTTTTGCGGTCGTCATTTGGCGGACGATGCTGAGCAGCAGCAGAGTGTAAACAAGTGTTGTTACAACCCACAGCTAATGTGAAACCACATCGCTAAAAAATAAATTGACAAACACTAAAACTAAGGATATTCTATCTATAATTTCAGTTAGTTTTAGTTAGTTTTGTAAAAAAGATTATACAGTTTTAGTTATTGCTTTTTCATTTTATTAGAGTTTTTATTTATTTTAGTTAACAAAAATGTTTTTTTCTATTTCAGTTTTTGTTATTTAGTTACTTTTAGTTAACTATAATAACCCTGGCTCTGACCACCCAAGTCCATTTAAAAAACAAACGAAGGTGGTCTGTTGCACCTCTGTATCGTAGTGCTGACTGACACTTTCGGGGACCACCCAGCCGTGGGTTTCTTAAGTCAAACCACCAGATTAAAACTTTCTGGTTTTTTTAGAGCTTCTCGAGGCAGAGGAGGAAAAAAAAAAAAAAAGAGGCTACAAACTTTATCAGCACAAAGACTGAAAGTATGCAGCGGCACAGACACAACCATGATAAGAGTCAGGTTATTTTAAAACTTAAAACCTTTAAAAAGAAGCACTTGGACGGATTTCGATCTCTGCAAAAATAATAAAGGGGAAAGAGTCATTCTGTGACTCTGCAGCAGCAGGTCAGAGCAGCCGATGTCTCTTTTAATACCAATTAATAAGTGAAAGTGAAAGTGCACGTGAGCGCGGCGAGAGCGCCTCCGTCCGTGACCTCTGAATGGCCGAAGGGGGCGTCGACACGAGGTGGGCTGTCCACTGAAAGAAGCAGAAAAATCAAAGGCCTTCCTCACCTGACAGACGTTCTCCTTGGAAGACGCAGCTCCTATCCTTCCTCGGACGTCACCCTGGGAGGAGAAACTGTCGTTCAAAGCGGCCGGAAGACCCTACAAAGATCGGTTTCATCCACTGTTACTGAAAGAACGGAAGAAAAGATACAGACTGTGTTTTTTTTTTATATTACAGGATGCTCACCTCAGGTTTAGGAGTGAGTGGTTCAGCGTCTGAGTTTTGTTTCGTTTCAGAGCTGAAGGGCTCCGACTCCGGCTCCTGRTTGGGGGTTTTACACCTCCAGGGGCTGGGAGACCTGCTCTCTGAAGGCTTGGAGGCTGCAGCAGGGACTACAGGTGCACTCGGGGCGGGCTTCTCTTTCTTGGATCCAAACTATCCAACGTTATAAACAGTTAAATAGAACTTTAGTGCTTTTGGTGCATAAAATAATAATAAAAAATAATCCCAAGTTTCTCCTTTATCTTTCTTTGTTAAATCACCTGAGKTTTCTTGACCGACACATTCACCTCCGTTGTAATGCTAAGCTGCCGCTTTTGCTCCTGGACACAGAAATGAGAAACCGGATCAATGTTTTGTCACAGCACAACAATAAAACCAGACGTCTGTACCATACCCTCTTCTTTCCAGAAGCGGAAACCACTTCTTCTATGGTACAATCCAGCACCTTGTGGGACAGTTTCCTCGACCTCTTTCTTTCTTGAATTACTGTTCCCATGTCTAAAACAAAACGAAAGTAACAAACCGGTATTTCAGCGACGAGCTGATGCAGCTGTKAACACATCAGTGAGTAAACGAGACACTCACCCGGTTCAGGAGGTAGATCGGTTTCCTCGGCTGCGTCGCCGCAGGTTTGCGTCGTGACAGGAGACACCGGCGGCTCTGAGAGTGAAAGTGCGTCCCGGGGCGGACTCGTCTGGACCTGAGCCTCGGTGGGCTCCGCTGACCAAGAGTTGGAGGCATCAGTCYCTTCTGCAGCGCTGAGTTCATGAAGTGCTGTTGTCCCTGAGGTCTCCTGATCAATTAAACACGACCATACATCACCGTCAGGATTAAATGATGTCGTTCAACACAAGTTTCTAAAATTATACCTTATTTATATCTAAACAAAAAGAAAAACATTCATGTGAATCTCATCTACCAGTGAACCACTGAACTCCAATTAATCTCTACTTTACAGGAATTGTTTAAAAATGATGGTTGATGAAGGTTTTAGTGAAGTACAAAGCTGCTAAATGTTGCTAAAAAGCACTAAAGTCATTTGTTTTTAATGGTAGAATAAGCAGAATATTTCTAAATAATTTCTGAGATTATTCAAAAGGCCTAAAATGTCTATTTTTTTATTATCTGAAATCTGGAGTATCGTTTTTTATGGTTAGCATAACAAATCTATTTTTACTCGGACCATAAAATAAATAAATAAAAATAAAAGTTTGTGGCAAAAGCTTCACAAGCTTGCAACTGATTTTCTTATTGGTTATAAACTTGCATTGAAAGCTTGTAAAAACAGCAGCCGCCACAGATCTTTGAGGTTTTCAAATCTTCTGACTGAACATTGTTTTCACAAGTCGAAACATTTATTTTTTGTGCTTTTTTTTTTTTGCAGATGATGGTAGAAGTTAAGTCAAAGAAAACTGGAGTGTTTGATGCATTTTGGTCTGAAAATTATCATAGAGGTTATTGGCTGCTCTTCTTTATGATTAACAGGCTAAAACAGAACAAACAAAAAGTTAAAAATACACCAAAGCAATAAAAAAACACATTTAGATATCAATGCATTCATGTCAGCCCTCTATGTTTTATACTAAACATTACGTATTGTTTTTTTTTTTTAATGTAAAGAAAAGTGACTTGTTAGTTTAGTAAGCCATCGCTGAATCACCCTTCTAGGTTCCCTCCACACTTTCATTTGTGCTGCAGAGAAACTACAAATAAAAAAATAATAACTTCTCACCAGTTTAGAAGAATCTGAGGGGTTTTTCTTTGACTTCTTTTTGATGGAAAATATTTGTTCGTACTCCTCGGTTGACTCCAAGAGCCTTTTAGTTGGTTTGCGGAGGCGTTTGTTCTCTGATTGTCCTGTGAAAACACYTAGTGCAGACGTTAATTTCGTACTTATTTTTCTGTACGGGTTTAGACGAAAAAAAAAGGTTTGGTTTGAGTCTTACCGGCAGCGCTGCTTGCATCCGACGACTGTGAGTCATTCTCTGTGAGTTTCTCGGCTCCCAGATCAGGATCGGGAGACGCCACCACGGTGTAAGACTCCTTCGTCTCGATCACAACTTCCTCCTTAATCTTGGCGGAGACTTCCTCCACCACCTGCCAGCGCTTCTTCGGGGCCACCGCCGCTTCCGGGGTCCTCTCAAGGTAGCTGTTGGAGAGACTGAGATGAGAATCCGAGCCGCCGCGTCCGCCGCCGACCTCCCCGCTGTACGCCGTGGCTGGGTTTCTGACTTTCAGTTTGGCAGGCAGCTTCTGTTTTCTCCGCTGCTTGTCGGGGGTCTCGGAGTGAAGAGGAAAGTCCTCAAAGTGGTTGGTGTTGGCTGCCTGGATGGCTTTAGTCCAAACCTTCACCGGCGTGCTTTGGGTTAGCGCATTTTTCCCTGACGGCCCAGTTAATCGGTTCTCCGAAGCCTCGCAAGAAACTTTCAACAGATGGCTTTGTGAGGACGTGGGGATCACCAGGGGTTCTTCCTTGATCAAGTCAGCCGAAGGCGGGAGAAGCAGCGGTTTGCCTTCTTTTTCTCTCGTATCGTGCATGTCTTTTAAGAGCATCAGGAAAGTACTAAATTTATAATTTGAGTCAGGCCGAAACACCGCCTCTGAGTCGCCGTCCTCATTAACCAGTGATTTAAACGACAGCTCCTTACAGTTCTGAAAAGTGTCCACGGGGGACAAAGACGGGGAGGTAGTTGATAAATCTGAGGCAACGTTTTCCGTCTTGATGCAAACAGGTTGGAAAACGGGCTGAGCCAAACACTCCTGCTTCGGTTTGCCTATCAAGCCGTTGAGAGTTGGTTTCTTGCTGAGTTTTCTCGGGCGCCGCTTCGGAGAGTTCACGAAGGKCAAAGCACTACTGAGCGACTCCCACACCGGAGACAGTTCGGTTTTGACGGGAGCTTTAATCGGTGTGAGATCCAAACAGTCGTGGACTGGATCAGGTGCTGGGATGTGGCTCGAGGCCAGTGTGTCGCCGAGATCCGGCTCTTCCGCCGTCCTCAAACGGCTGCCGGCAGGCAGGTCCTCCGAGCGTTCTTCCTCCGAACCGTGAGACGAGCCGACGCGAGCCGCCAAACTCTGATCAGAATTCACATTTTTAGGAGACGATTTGTTTGTAAGAACTTTGGGAGATTCGTAGGAACTGGACTGGCTCAGTTTTTTGGGTTTTTTTACTTGAAAAGATCCTTGATTGTTTCTGTTCGACGTGTCCACGCTGTGTATCGGGGAAATCGCCGTGCGTTTCGGACGGTGCAGCATTGGAACTGAATCCAGGTCGGCATAAGGCGAGTCCTTTGGCTCGTCTTTCAGTGCACGTGTTTTTGAGTGGAACTGGCCGGCCGCGTGCGAGACAGCCGAGTCCTTCGAACCGCCGACTATATGAGAAAATATGTCCGACAAACGCTTCTTTTTCTTCCTGACAGCTTTGCTCTTACCGGCTGGAACAGTGGAGTTTTTGAGAAYATGGTGACCATTTCTGTTCAGAGTCAGACCAGGCGAAGGGGGTCGGGCACAGACAGAGGGGCTTGTCGGCTTGTCGTCGGGAAGAGGACTGGATGTGCGCTCCTCTCCATTTGCAGATGCTGACAGCGTGCTTTCACTAGTCCTTTGTCGAAGAGGGAGCAGATACTCTGCTTCAGCCACGCTGACTTTCCACGCAGTCGACAAACTTTTGGGAATCTGCCGAGATCAGAATTAATTCTCAGAGCGGAGCTCATATTTACGCTGATTTTACTAAAACAAGTATTTTTTTTCTAAATTTACCGTGTATTTGTAGTTCTTCTCTTTCTGCTTCCCTCTACGCCTGAGGACAGGCAGCTCCTCAAACTGATATCCTCCTTCAAATGGAAGAATGACGCTCCCTGGGACCCAGGAACGCTCCGCTACATCCCCCAACGACTCCAGATAATACAGCCGACAAGGACGGGAGCTTGGAACTGAAGCCAGATTTAAAAAAGATAAATAAAGCTTGGCAAAGTTCACACAAAGACAGCCTGCCAGAAGGACACGAAGGTAAAACAACTTCAGCTAAGCAACATTCACATCCAACCTCACCTTTCATCTTAGTATGACTCCCCAGGTCTGGGTCACAGGTGACTTGGCAGGGCCACCAGGGCCGTCTGTTGAATTTTGCCCAGACCAAATCATCCTCCAGGAATTTTACAGCAGGTGGAAGCCTTTTCTTTGGGCTGTTGGACTAAACAGCACAACAAACACTTTAACATTTAAAGACAAGGCCACCGTTTACCAATAACATTGAGCTGAAGAGCTCATTTCAAGATACAGTAAAGTTACATCTGTGAAAGTGGGACTCTGTAGTAAAAACAGTTATTTAAGTATTTTAATTCGGATCAGACTGACGAGCAAATGGCTAGTCTGAGTAGGTCCAGTCAAAAAAATAAATTGATGCCACCATCCTTAAAAAATAAAGTGATCCAGTGGATCCTTCAAATTATTCTCAAATGCCTTGAAATCATGGCTCCTGAAGAATCAAATGTGTAGACACTGACWATGGGATTCTTTTATCCATTTTGTATTTTAATGTATTGCCTTGAATTGTGTCACATTTTTAGGATTTGTATTTTTTTAATGAAAGTAACTTGTTGTTTTGTATGTATTGTATTTATATCTACAAGACATTGAGGGACTACAGATGAAAACTAGCCTCCATGGCTAATTCTGGCATTTTCTGTAATATGCACTGTCCCTTCTTAAATAAATAAACAACAACATCCTAACACAGCTCTTTTCTTAAAAACTTGATAACAACTACAAACGTTATTTTATAAACCTTTACACTGCCATCAGTTTTGACAGTTATACTATTATTTATCTGAATGTTTATGATTGTGTACAAATCATGTCAGCAACAGCAACTAGTTATAACAACGCTAGTTCAGCTTGAAGCGTTTTGAAATTGCAGTCGTTTTAAATCCTGCTCTGCRCGGACTCGTGGTTAGCTCGGTAATTTGGTCGGAATTAATCTATTTCTCCAAAGCGAGACAATTGAAAGAGCTATCTACAACASGTAAGATATTTACTTCAGACGTTTTCCACAGACCCACACTTCTCATTTTGAATAATAACAAAAGAAGAAAATGTGGTGTACTGGATGGTGGCACTATCATGTTTTTATTTTTTCATGGCCGGAGAGAGCGGCCATGTTGTTCAGGTCGAAGAGAGGCTGGTGAAGCTCAATGCGGTTACCGTGACATGTTGTATAGGTCAGCACATCAGTGAAACTATGTTTTGATTTGATAGAAATGCTTGTCAGTGAATATTATATCAGGCAAAGATGTTTCTAATAAGCAGAAGCTAACCAATGAGAAACTAATATTTATATGCAATTCTATACAAAAATCAAGCCATAATAAACTTTAAATCAGGGGTGCCCAAACTTTTCCCTGAGAGGCCCAAAYAAATTCAATCTGGGGGCTCTGGGCCAAATACAATAATATACATGAAATACAAATGCTTCTTAAATTGTTGAAAATCTGACGTATGCTCAGGCAGCAAATGCACATGGAACTTTTCATAAATTATAAAATTTTAGTATTCGTGATCTTATAAAGTGTGCAAATCTAGATGTATGTTTATTTCTAATCTGAATGTCTCTTGTAATTATTGTATTTTATGATTAATCTTAATACTGAATAATGCAAAGATAAATTAAAGCACCATGAGTCAAGACTATCTGCAATACAGTCTCTTGTATAGTTGGACCAATGGTTGAAATGAGTGTTTCTACATAAAACTGGAGAATACAACCTAGTAGCCAGGACAACTGCTAGTGAGCCAAATCAAAAGGCTTGGCGGGCCGGTTTTGGCCCCCGGGCCCCACTTTGGGCAGCTCTGGTTTACACTGACAGCTTGCCCCTTCCAAAATGGAACTCGTACCACAGTGGTCAATCTTCTGAAGCCTGTGTGACACCTCTAGTCGATATACCTGATTGGACGAAACTATCAGTTCTCCAACAAGGTGTTTCAGACTCACATTAGAGTTGGTGAGAGCTGGTGACATGAGTCCAGGGTCGACAATAGAGGTAAGTTCAGCATCACTGTCCGACTCCTCACCCAGATTCCAGCCTTCTCTCATAGTGATTTCTGGCAGTGCGCTGGGGCTTAGTGTAGGGTTGAGTTCAGAAATGGTTTTGGACATCAAGTTAAAAACTGTAGGTTTGTATGTTTTTCTGTCCGCCCCCGAGCAACTTGTGCTTTTGCTCTCAGACACAGTCCGGTCCCGACTGGAGTTCGGGAGGTGGCTGAAAGGTTTAAAGTCCTCCCCGCTCTCCTGCTCTCCATCCTCCTCCTTAACGTCACTGCTGTCAAAGAGCGTGGACTCAAAATGCAGGTAGCCGTTGGGGACGGGGGAACAGTGCTCAAAGCTGTCGGGACTTCGAGGCGAGGGGAAGCCGTTCCGACTCCTGTCCCGCAGAGTCTGAAAGGGCCCCACGTCGCTGCCGGGGGACGGGGGCAGCTGGGCCAGCGGCCCTTCGAAGTCATTGTCATCAGCGTCGTCGTCGTCGCTGACGGGACTCGTGCAGAGTAGGTCATTGCGAGGGTGGAGGTCCCGATCTGGATCAGGTCTATAGAGCGCAGCGCTCAGGTGCTGCGGCCTCCTCGGCGGACTGTAGCAGCGGAATTGTTCGGTCTGGTCGTAACCCAGGAAGGCAGGCTGTCTGTGGCCGGGGGGTGACAGCTGCAGGGCCGACGACTGGCCCGAGACTCGCTTCACAATGCCACACTGGTTTCCAAAGGAAGTGCTCACGGGGCCGTGGTGGGGCCTCAGCTCTGGCTGGTTCGAACCAAACACTGAACCTTCCCTCAGACCCGGTCTGTAAGACTGATTCATGTTGTCATGCCTTTACCCTGTCAAAGGAAACAGAGGCGGGGTCAGATAAACCATCACTGAGACTTGGAGACAACACGAATGAGAGGATACAGTTCAGAAGTAGAGCTGCAGTGCAAAAAGAAATTTACAGTTCACTCATCGTGAACATTAAAGTTTTGTTTTGTTTTTGTTGGGTGGGGCTTTAACGATCGATCTGAAATGTAATTTTTTTTCCAAAACACAAAAATTAGGTGCCCAATGGTAAAAATGATACAAACAGCCTCAAATACAATATATATAGTCTGCTTCTTTCAGCTGGTCCCACTTCAGGGGTCACTACAGAGAGCCATCGTCCATCACACTCTGTCCTCACCCCAACTACCTCCATGTCCTCTCTAACTGCATCCACATGGCCCCTCTTTGTCTTTTTTCCTGGCAGATGCGTCGCCAACATCCTTCTACCACTGTCCCCACCCCGACATGTCCAAACCGTCTCAGTCTGGCCGTTTTAAGTGCGCAACTTCACCTCTCTAAGCTCTCTTCCACCTGTTCCCTGTTCTCACTACAGATCACAGTGTCATCTGCAAACAATCCACAGGGATTCCTGCTTGACCTCATCTATTGGTCTGTCTACCTGTCTCTGATCCTTGATGCAGTCCCGCCTCCATCGTGAAGCCGTCTATCACTCCTGCAGCACATCTCACCACGATCCTGCTGTCCTCATACAGTCTAATATACATCTCTGCCACTCCACATCTCGTCATACACCGCAGCTCCTACCTCAGTTCCTTGTTATATGTTTTTTTTTCTAAAGAAACAATGAAGTTCCCTCTGATGCTCTCAACAAAAAAAAAAAAAAAAAAAAAAACATACCAGGCCACTAATATTTGCCTTAAGAAACTCTTTTGTCATTCTCACTGGAAAGTTGACCACTTTTCTTGACTCGACTTGTTCATTTAAAATTGGTCGGTTTCCTGCCGAGAACCTGTTTTTTTAGGGACAGTCCACACATTTTCATTGGGACAGAGGTCTGAAAAAGAAGAGCATTTCAGAAGTTTAATGTTAGCCTGTTTTATCCAATCAGAAAATGTTTATAATGCTTGTGATCATGGTCCTGTTGGGATGCCCAGATGTGTCCAAGTTTACCTAGCAGTCGATTTGACGAGGAAGCTGAAGGATTTGAAGCTAGTMCTCCGGCCCCACGACACGATGCTACCACCTTGCTTGACCGTTTGCAGTGTTCATTGCCTCCTCTGACGCAAAGGCCGTTGGACATCGCCCGTGTGGCCAGCTCCAAATTTCAAATCGAGCTTGAAGATGTCGCTTTTTGAGCCATAGCTTGTTTATTAACTTATTTATTTTTGGTTTGTTTTTAGTCGGCACTCTTTGGAAGTCCACGATGATATACAGCTAGCTTCACTGCTGACTTGGACGTTGCTGTTCCAGCAGTTTCCAGTTCTAACAACCCGGACTACTTTTTCTTTCACCCGAGGGTGAACAGGTTATTCCAACAACCAAATCACCTTTAAGCCAGCAAAGAGAAACTCTCAGCTGCAGTCAATCGTGATCACTAATTAGATGTTAAAAGGCCATGACGAGTTCAAGCCAGTCTAGAACCAGTCATTAGCAGATGTAGGTGAATGTGTGTTTGTGTGTGTACAACTTAAGACACTGTGGATTAGAGGAAAACATTAAACTCAAGCTTGATCTCCCAGGTTAATTAATTTTTGTATAATATTCCTTGAGAATAATGGTTCTAATGAATTATGACACTCGTGTGTGTTACGGGTGTGTGACTTCTTCCTACCTGTATAATCAGGGGTAAAATACACACACACACACTCTCTCACACACACACACCATCATATGAAATATGGCCTCCTTTAAAGGCCAGCCGGACGGAAGAAGACAAAAACACTGAACACACAGCCTCTAAACGCGTTTCATTCACGAGCTCTTCGCTTAAAAATAAAAAAACCACACATATCAGGGTTGTGTTTGATCCTCACGGGTCATGGCGGAGCTGGATCCAGTGGAGGTGGTGACACCGACAGACTGAGCGGCTCTCTCACACACAAAACAGGCTACAGCCGCACAGCGAGCCAAAGCCCAAACACACACACAACAACAAAAAAACAGGCTCTAATCGACAGTTTAAGTTCACCACACCGTGTCAACACGTGGAGGGGTGAAAGGAATAAAGGGAAGACACAAAACTCACCATTTGGAGGTCGGTCACCGAGAAGAGCGGATCCCTGAGAATCATGTGGCACAAAGCGAGAGGTTGTGTCGGTGAGGGGAGGCAGCTCTGCACAATCCCAGCTGCAGCTTGTAGGCCAAGGCTGGGGCTCTCAGCAGCTCTCATTCTCGGCACTTCATCAGCGGCCCTCTCTCTCTCTCTGTCCCTTTCTAGAAAACTGTCACCTCTTCAACACCAAAACAAGGAAATCCCCATCTGACACCGCCGGTCCACTCATCACAGACACACAKGGCGCCTGATTTGAACTACATGGTTTCTTCCTGTGCGGTGCTGCTGTCGAACTGCCCCTGGTTATGTTAAAACAAGCCCAGACTGCTTGGTGAGAAGCAACCAATCGGCACCGCTACCCAACCCCCCTGTCTGCAGAGGGCCGTGACACTCACCCCACACATACACACACATATACACACAAGAAAGCAAATAAACGTGCACGCTATTAAAAAAAAAGGCAGGTGAAGTTACAGAAAATAAGTCGCATATTTTAAATTAGTGATAAGGTAGAAACCTGCGCAGAATCACTGTTTTATAGCAATGTTTTTGTTTCTGCTTAAAAAAAACGATTAGTCGATTGAACAAAAACGGGTACGAGTCGCTTATAAGCAGGCGCGCGCACATGACGAGGGCCTAAACTCTCCGCGCGCCATGTTGTCTCTGTCTCAGCAGAGACAGGAGGAAACACACAGGCCGCTAGGCGCTCGGTAAAAAAAATGTCAGACCGAGAGAGATTTAACTCGGTTCCGAGCGTTTCCGTCTCGAGTGAACAATGTTTTAAAAATCAAGGCGCAAATCTGCGCAAAGAGAGCGAGAGAAGGAGAACAAACAAACAAACAAAAAAAGTTCGCTGCTGCGGCCCCGGCCCAGTCCGGCTTTGATGTTTTAAAGCCTGAATCGACAACATCCAGCAAAAACAAACTGCGCTGACGGCAGACACACCTCACCAATGAGGCATATACACCTAAATATAAATATACCTCAATGGGCTGCACTATATCAGAGCTTTACGAGTCATTTCTTGGACATTTGTAGAAATAAAAGCCTGTCAGCTTTGACAAAGAGCGCGTTTACATTAAAACGCAAGTCCCAGTTCTATTTGTTAACCCATATGCCTTAAAATGTGTTAGAGTCGTTTAATAAAAATAAAGGTATAATTACAAGATGATTACTATTGTCTAGAGGCACGCGCCCCCTGTGTCTGCTTGAAGAATTACATGTAATTTGACAGGAAGTAGTGCAGCCCATTCACATTTAAAATATTAACAGGCTTATTACCAAGAAGCATCGTTTCAATTCACCAAACACAACCTTCTGTGATACTTTTAGAGTAAAGGTATAGTTTTGTTTTGACCTTTATTTGTTTTTGATTTAGAGAAAAAATTACCTTTTTGGCCCACCGAGTGTTTGTTAGCAAAATATCTCATGAACCAGTGGACAGGTTTTATTGAAATCACTGAACGCACATCTACAGCTAATTAACTTTTAGAGTTAATCTAAGTTAAGAGGGCCGCCTCAGCTAGGAGACTTTAACAAACAGGAAAATGGCTTCAACTCAGCCAATTTTGAGTATTTTGAGCGAAAGAAAATGGCGTGGTAGTAGCTGAACGTGACACCCGCCTCAGAGCAGTAGTGAATAATTCCTTGCGTTAAACTTTGCTGTCAACTGTCTGTTAGCAAAATATCTCACGAATCACCAGATTTTAATGAGGCTTTCAGAAATGTAATCACTGTATGGTTCTCTGAAATGCATTAACTTTCGAAGTCATCCCGATTCAAGCTGACCATCGTAGAGAAATGAAATTCAACACAATTTTTCATTGAGCTAAAATTTGGGGTGGTAGTCGCTGAGAGTCATCATCAACAATCGCTTCAAGGGCAGCACATGTCATTAATAGGGCTGTGTATTGGCAAGAATTTGGCAATACGATACATATCATGACAGAGGGGTCACGATACGATATATCCCGATATATTGCGATACTATAAGCAAGGCGATGTATTGCGATTTTTTTTGTCCAAAAATTCTATTAAACAAAAACCTCTTACAGGGGAAAAAAAGAAAAACCAAAATTCATTGTCTCAGAAAATTCTAATATTACACAGACATACTTTTGATACATTTAGCTGTGTTCTGCTTTGTATGTGTTTTTATTTTATTTGTTTCATATTTCTTACTTCATCCATGTTTTCAATTACTAGACTAAATTTTGCCAATAGTTTGAAATTGTATTTTTTGCAGCTTTTAGTTTTTAATATTAGTTTACAATATGGTCACCCAACACTTAACAATAGCCTCTACCTCAAGAGGTAGAGGAGCCAAATGTCTGGCTCACTGCTGCCAACTAGTGGTCAGAGGTTGAACTACAACATAAAAATGAACGGCTGGCAGGAAAGTTGACATTTTAAACCTTAATAAAAAATCGATACAGGGCTTTAGAATATCGATACAGTATCGGGAAATGAAATATCACAATATTTCAGTGTATCGATATTTTCTTACAACCCTAGTCATTAAGTTGAATTAGTTAACAAGATCAAGATGGCTGCATCATGATTTCTCCTCACAGGATGACCTGAGTTTAAAACTGTCTCAAAAAGCAGCGGGTGATACACATTCACATACAACAGTTTATTTTACAGTCTACATTGCATCAGGTTAGTTTGTAAAGTTACCTTTTTTAAAACATCGATTAATACAACAACACATAAATGTGGAAGTGCTTATCAGGTGAGATTTGAGGATAAAAACAGATAGAAATACATGATCAAAACATATATTTACAAAATGCAGAAATAGGTACCAAATACGGTGCTCAAAGGAATAGCAAATTTTATCAGTTCAAGCTAAAAAAAAAAAAAAAAGTACAAATTTTAGCTTTGGTGCCAGAGTATACCATGATATAAAGAGCAGACAAGACTACAAATATAAGATAATAACAGTTGTATTGTTACCCTCAGAAATAAAAGAAGTTACACTGCTTGTTTTAGAAAGTACATTTCTAGCATGAACAAGATGTTCAAACTCAAAATGAAATACAGATACAGAACTTAGTAGGTTTCAAACACAGACATTTTTTTTTGCCAATACTGATGTGTTTGTTTATTTATAAGCATGCATCTGTCCCTAACTGAAGCAACAAACGTTAAATCAGTCACTGTGAAGTAAAATCAAACATTCGTGTTTAAATGAGAAGGAAAAGAAAAAAAATCTCCCAGCATTTTGGAAAGGCCTTCCTCATGCAGCCAGATGTTTGGGAGCTACTCGTTGCTTTCAGCCGCCTTGCCGCTGGGCTCACAGAGGTCTCTGCTCTCCATCATGGTGTACACAAACGGTGGAACGTCACAGGTGGCGAAGTCCAGCTTTTTGGGAACGCTGCAGTTGCTCAAGTCAAGTTTTCTGGAGCCGTCGCTGTCCAACTGCAGCTTCTTGAGACGGGCCAGACTCCTGAAGCTGCCGGGCGGCCTGCCGGGACTGACTCTGTAGCCCGCGGCCCTGGTGGTCCCCAGGGGCCTCCCCGGGCTGGTTTTGAACCCGGCGGCTCGGGTTGTGCCCAGCGGGCGTCCGGTGCTCGTACGGTACCCGGCCAGCTTGGTGGTGCCCGACGGCCTGCCTCTCCGCCCCGACTTCCCCTCGCCCTTCTTTCTCTTGGAGCCGGCGGCCTCAGCGTTCCCGATCCTCGCCGTCTGCGGCTGGAGGTCGCCCTGGGGGTCCTGCAGCTGACATGCCACGGCTTTATGCAACCCCTGTGGTAAGGGGGGAAGGCCGGAGAGGGACAGCTGCAAACCAGGGCTCGTTGGAGAGGTGTAAAACTTGTCAGATTGGGTGCTACACAAATCAAAGTGGCTAGCTGGATGAGAGTCCTCTGGCAGTTCACTCACACAGTAATCACTGCTGCTGCTGTTCACTCGATGCATCATTTCCTGTTGGGGTGCAGACAAATATGAATATTAGGGAGAAAGACACGTGCAAATGTAAACTATAGCTTACTTTTCATGCAGCAAACTGGCCTGTGTGCCGGTACAATATAAAAGTTGATTGAAGTACAGTTTTAGCTTTAAAAACTACAAAATGTAATACAACAAGGTTACAGACGTAAATCCCTTTTTTGTCTGGAGCGTCGTCGACGAACAGTTCGTACCTCATTTTCCGCTCAATGTTGTACTCGGAGAAGGGTCAATTTGGACTCGTTTTCCCCCTTTGTTTTAGCAACATCTTCGTAAAGCAGCTGGACGAACCACGGGCCTGGCGTCCCGCTGTTTTCTTTGGAAGCACCGTGAATTTCTGCTGCTTACTTCGGCTTCGGTTAATCCAGCGGGGAGGTTCAGACGAGAGCGGAAGCCATTTTTACGCCGAAAGAAAAAAAAAAGAAGAAGAATGTAACGGACGGTTCAAACCAAACACGCATGCGCAAACCAGCTTCCTGGAAACGCAGCGGCACATCAAAGGTGACGTAAAACCTATCTGTGTCAAGAATCATAAGGACATTTCTTAGTTTACTATTTTCATCAACAATTTTACGTTTTGTTATAAATGCACTGATTTTAAAATAAAACATTTGTATCTATGAGCTAAGTTATGGAAGACCCCCACTGCTGAATTACAGAAACGTTTTACATTAGAAAACAAGGATGTTTAAAAATGAGCTAAAATCTGAATAATCATAACTGATGAAATAAATATTAGTTTATATGTCTGTGGTAGGTAGATGTATTTACATATATTTTTACTTTTGCATAATTCCTTTCAGATTTCTTTTATTGAAATAATCAATTTGAACCTGAATTTCCCAGCGTGGGACAATAACGTCTTTTTCTATTATATTCTATATTTTTTAAATATTAGTACTGCCCATTTATTCATTACAAAGTGTAAACTGTCCAAATCCTTTTCAGTTTAAAAAGCTATTTTAAGGTTTTCAAAAGGCATTATTTATACTGTATTATTTGTTGAAATGTTTTGAGCACAACAGGTATCTTGCAAATGAGGCAATTGTCAATAAAACTAATTTATAAGTAAAGGAAATTAACAACATACATATAGCATGATATGATATATGAAAATCCATGTATATTTAAGCTTGTGTGTGCTTTTAGGTGGATATGTTTTTTCTGTAACATACTGGGCATATAGAACTATCAAGTGTGAAGAGGGGAGGAGTGGGATTACACAATTTTTTTATTTCTTCATGCTTACTGTTAGACTTTTGGCAATGTGTGATTTCTGTACTGGGTGTGTTATTGATTGAATTACTTTATACTGTATTTACAGTATATTCACATTTTTTAAACAATTTTATGTTTGAAATACACACATCTTACAAGTCCATGTCTGTTAAAAACAGCAGGTGAACACAGATGAGTCAAAGACAAAGATCATTCCCTCATTTTTGTAGTTTTTATTAACATCTATATGAACTTAAGCACAAAACACTGGATTTGTGGAGGAACCGCAGTGCTAGGACAAGTAGGAATATCCATTTATCAGCATCTCCCCTGATGGTCGCATTTCCAAAATGAAGTCCACAGGACTCAAGTCTCCCTGATGAGCTTGGTCAGTTTCTGGATCTTTGTTTTGGTGGACATGTCCACATATTTTTCTCCGATACTGACGATCATGCCTCCCAGGATTGAAGGATCTGACTGTACGGAGGAAAGGAGTTAAAATTACAGATGAGTCACAAATACTGATGCTGACACATCAAATTAGCACAAGACTGGTAACATGTCAAACATAAAGTAAATGGTTGAACAAGTTTTTGTAAATTTATGGCGACATGCAGTGAAACTGTACCTTTGACTCCAGCTTGATGGTTTCACCTTTCTGTAGAAAATCTTTCAGAGCTACTTTCAGTTCAGTAAGATTAGCTTCATCCAAAGGCTGAAACAAATCAGGTCATTAAATTAAATATATTTATTACAAAAACATGGTAGTAACATGAGTAATATGATCTGCTCGTGTTTAGTTTAAAGCATAGGAAGACATTTAACATAATTACAAACATACATGAGCAGTAGTGACTGTGCAGATGACCTCTCCACGGTGTGCACTCATCATTTTACCAAAAGCACTGATGACATCACCAGTTATAGTAAGACGTCCATTATCAGCCAAAACGTCTATAGAACAAAAAATTTAATATGTTCAAGATATACATTTATGGATGATGTATAATATGTACTGTAAACAGAAACATGTTTGTAATTGCTATTTTTAGGACAGATACAATATTAAATATATTCTAGTCGGATGTTATACAATGAACTGTGTAACCTCTGACAAACTGGTTATAAAACAAACCTTTTCATATGGGAACAGTAAAGCATATGCTCCTAATAATTCACCTAACATTTTGCTTCAATGATAGCTTCTGTGTTTCATCTTAGTTTTGACATGAACAACCAAGCAGCAGCAGCAGTCGGTCTCCAAATCTTATTGGTCAAATTAGCAGCTGATCACATTATTATTAAAAACATGCATCATCAGAAGTCTCCTCCATTGTGTTAAAGGACGGGAGATAGAGAGGAATGGTTGTGTTATGCTAAAATTAGTGCTGTTTAAGTAGTTTCTGAATATTTCACAGTATATATAAACAGAGATATTTGGATGCCCAATTAAAAACCTCAAAAGCAGACTCAATTATTAACATCGAGGAAGAAACCTGGGACAAATGATCACATTTAGATGACTACCAGTCGAACAGCATAAATTTTAGTTTTGAGGCAGTCCTAAATTAAAACTACACAACGCACACGAAAAGAAGAAACATACATCACTATGGACTACTCCAATTATTAATAGAATACCATGAAAACACACACAAAAATAATAATAAATGAAATACTTGGAAGCGATTGAAGCGTAGCACAATTATCAGGGATCACTTACTGATGAGGTTGACAGTGATGGGTGAAACCTTGGCCTTTGTGAGAGCATCATCGAAAGCCTTCAGCTTGAGGTTGCGTTTTACATGAGGATTCATCAAAATACTGGACATCTTGGGGTCCTTGATCATGGCCTGAAAAAGCAAGATGGCACACCAATTTAATTTATACTCAGAGATTTGTATCTAGGCTGAAGCAATGTGAATTAATCTATCGTGTTAATCTAATTTAACTAATCACAATTATATTAGTATATTGGTAACATTTCAAGAAGGTCTATGATAAAATGATTACAAAAGAAAGACAATAAAATAACTTTTAGATTTAAAAAATAGAAATATTACATTGTTTTAAAGTTTTGAATTCTAACATAATTAATCTGTATTGCTATATCCAATCCAAAAAGTTGTAAATAATTGTCATAATTTCCACATATTTCCAGAGATTGCCATGAAACTTTCAACAAACGTTCTTTAATGAATGCTTAGACTGTACTAGCTTTTTTTGTTGATTACAACATGAGTTAAATTTTATTACAAAATGAATTTGATACTATAGAAAATTGTACTCATGACCATTTCTACATTTTGCTAGTGGAAATAAAGTGTGTTTACTATTAATATAATACTAAATGTCAGGTAAGAAAATTAAAGTAATTGGTTGGAACCAAAACTGCAGCTAACTCAGCAGTAACTTAATTATTGAAACATTATTAATATAACTAGAGGGAAATAAAGACTTACAGAAACTTTACCCAACTCCTGCTCCACTTGGTCCAGTTTATTCTGCTTACTGGCAGCTGAAAACAGAGCAGTGGCATAACGACCCTCCACTCCATATACTTGGATGGGAGCCTGGAGAAAACAAACATAATAGTTAATTAAAAGTAAGTTCTAACATCTGTATTTCTGCTATAATCTCATGATGAGTAAGTGCAGGTTGCATACCTTAACCAGTTTTGTTACTGGTCTGATCACAGACGTGCTGAACTGGCGGGCCTAAAGAAAAAATATTATGCTGTTTAGAAAAAATTTTCAACACAATAAGATAGCCAAACTTCAGCTAATGATCGGCTGACGCTCGTTGCACCGCGTTTATGCTGACCGTAGTTAGCAGGATGCTAACACGTTAGCAGTCATTCAAGTGCAACAACGTCGTGAACGTTTTGTAAAAATTCAGCTATACTTTCTGGTCACTCGAACAATTTCAACAATAAACACACGCTTTATGCTTGAACGTTTTAGGTGGGAACTTCAATAAAACCTACGCACAAAACGGAAAATATTTGAATGCCTTACCTGCTGTCCTAGCATGAACGCTGCCATTTTCTCCTACAGCTGTACAGAGTGGAACGAACGACTGCGCATGCTCTCTTGACAGGAAGCTGGTACTCTGTGGGTATTGTAGTTTTTCATACGAAGTTATGAACCGTGATCTGAGGAAGCGTCAAGGTCGATCATAGCTTTAGTTTAAGCAAATATAAAACAAAAAATATTATTTTTGAGAATGTGTATCTTTACAAAATAAACGCTCCGTATCTACATTTAATAATGATAAATATTAAAGTAATTAAAAAATTATTTATTTTATTGAGATTTTTCAAGAAAAATCAAATGACAACAATAAAAGAAAGAGCAAAAAAAAAAGCTAATTAAAAACATCAGTTTATGCCATATTCTATAGTTTGGTAAATGCCTAAAACGGTTTATTTCCCAAATTGTTAATTACTTTATTGTGCAATTAAATTATTTATGTATTTATTTTTATTTTCAGGTCCTCCGCTGTGTGGGCTGACACATAAAAAACAAGGTTAAAACCGTAGTTACATATAATAAGTGGAAATATAACACATGTCACAAAAACTTGTAATTTCATCAACATCAACATGTAGTGTTAATAAATGGTAAAACGGCCTGCCATAAAGCCAAATAATATTGGGATCATCGTTTCTTTGGACCAAAAGCGAAGGTGCGTTTGTGGTCGGTCGGATAACAGACAACTGTTGGCACAAATAGAGTCGCGGGTTAACTGATACATATTTGTATCACCAACAGACTGAGGGGTTGAAGCGGGGCAAGTGTTATTATTATTATTATTATTATTATTATTATTATTATTATTATTATTATTATTATTATTCCCGTGGACCACACACACGCATCTTCACCTGCTGGTAAGCTTGCCAGCCTACACGTAACAACGTAACCCCAAACGTAACGGTTTCCTGGGGGGATTAAAAAAAAAGGTGGTCGGCTCAAAAAGCTGACGACGGACCAGACATGGACGACAAATCTTTTACCAAGGAGCTGGACGGATGGATCGAACAGCTGAATGAGTGCAAACAGCTGACAGAGAACCAGGTCAAACTGCTCTGCGAGAAGGTAAGATGGAGCGCGATGCTAGCTAGCAGCCCGTTAGCACGCGCACACATGCATCACCTGGATCTCCAGGCTGCAGGACGCACATTGTGTGGCAGAACTGTGGCCTTTGCCATGTGGAAACATCATTTGACTGCGTTTGTAAGATAAAGCTCAGGCGGAGAGGATGGAGGAGACCAAAATAACCTGCTGCGCTGCCACTGTTTTCCCTGAAATAAGACCGTACACTCCCACACACTGCACCAGCCAGGGACCTGCTCACCTGCATTCTCCTGGTTTTTGTTGTTGTTTGTTTGTTTGTTTGTCCCTCTCTTCTAGGCCAAGGAGATTCTGACAAAAGAGTCCAACGTTCAGGAGGTGAGATGTCCGGTGACTGTCTGTGGAGACGTTCATGGCCAGTTCCATGACCTGATGGAGCTGTTCAAAATAGGAGGGAAGTCTCCAGACACCAACTACCTCTTCATGGGAGACTACGTGGACAGAGGCTACTACTCTGTGGAGACGGTCTCACTCCTGGTTTCTCTTAAGGTACAAAACAAATACTGCAACTTTAATGTGCTTACTGAAAAGCAGGATTATTTTGCAGGGCTGTGTATTGGCAAGAATTTGGCGATACGATACATATCACAGAGGGGTCACGATATGATATATCCCGATATATTGAGATACTATAAGCATGGCGATATATTGCGATTTTTTTTGGTCCAAAAACTCTGTTAAATAAAAACCTCTTACTATGAAAAACCAAAATTCATTGTCTCAGAAAATTCTAATATTACACAGACATACTTTTGATACATTTAGCTGTGTTCTGCTTTGTATGTGTTTTTATTTTATCTGTTTCATATTTCTTATTTCATCCATGTTTTCAATTATCAGACTAAATTTGCCAATAAATAGGTTGAAAATATATTTTTTGCAGCTTTTAGTTTTTAATATTAATTTACATTATGGTCACCCAACACTTAACAATAGCCTCTACCTCAAGAGGTAGAGTAGCCAAATAGCTGGCTCACTGCTGCCAACTAGCCGTTCATTTTTATGTTGTAGTTCAGCCTCTGACCGCTAGTTGGCAGCAGTCAGCCGACTGGCTCACTGCTGCCAGCTAGCGGTCAGAGGCTGAATTACAATATAAAAATGAACGGCTGGCTGGAAAGCTGACATTTTTAACCTTAATAAAAAGATCGATACAGGGCTTTAGAATATCAATACAGTATCGGGAAATGAAATATCGCGATATTTCAATGTATTGATATTTTCTTACACCCCTATTATTTTGTATTCACTTTTTTTTCTCTCTCTTATCCCTAACAGGTAAGGTTCCCTGAACGGATCACGATCCTCAGAGGGAATCACGAGAGCCGGCAGATCACACAAGTGTACGGTTTTTATGACGAGTGCCTGAGGAAATATGCAAACGCCAACGTTTGGAAGTACTTCACGGACCTGTTCGACTATCTGCCCCTCACTGCACTAGTAGATAACCAGGTAACGAACAGTAGCATAAAGCTCAAATACAGGGATTTTGCTGTTTATTATTCCCTCCAAAACCTTTTATTTTTATTTTTTAAAGATTTTCTGCCTCCACGGAGGATTGTCCCCTTCAATCGACACGCTGGAACACATCAGGGCGCTGGATCGCTTGCAGGAGGTTCCACATGAGGTACACACCGTTTGTATACATTTGACAATAATCTGATTATTTTTCATCATAGCAGTTAGGTTTTATTAGATTAGGAGGTGTCTTTTACTAATATGTCTCCATTTTCAATAGAGCCTTTTTTTTACACTTATGTTAAAACAATCATAATGTTTCCTCAGGGTCCAATGTGTGACTTGTTATGGTCGGACCCAGACGACCGCGGCGGCTGGGGAATCTCACCTCGTGGTGCCGGTTACACATTCGGGCAGGACATTTCTGAGACGTTCAACCACGCAAATGGCTTAACTTTGGTTTCAAGAGCCCACCAGCTGGTGATGGAGGTACTCTGACTTTGATTCTTCACTGAAATACGTGAGCCAATCACATCAAACGGAGGATTTAAAGTCTTTAAATGGTGCGTGGAGAAATAAGCAGCCACAGTGCGTTAGTTAAAACGTTTTGCAGCAGTTGTATTTGGTCAAAGTATAATGAATGAATACCACATTTACAGGTTGTTTGCATGAAATATCTGACATATAAGGATTAGAGTTTGAGCATAAGAGCCTTTTCAGTGTGCATTGCCAAAGCAATGCACACTATTGTGATTCGTTTTCCATCCAAGTCTTCTCAACTTTGCCATGCTTCTCCTCCTGCATACTTTGTCCTAGAGCTGCCATTGTAATTTATATCTGTAAAGCCCCTGTACCAAATGATGGCTATGCCTTTTGGTGCCTGTAAAACTTATAGTTTTTGAAATATTAATGTTTAATAAATTATAATGGCAGTCAGTGGAGCCTTGTATTGGTCCAATGCTGCCCCCTGCTGCCTCTGCACAATATAGTACTGCACCATAGTTTTATAATATTTAAACTCAGTAGTTCAGTGATTACAATATTAATATGATTATATTTTGATGTGTTACTGTAATACTGTCTTTATGTTGTCCTATTGCTGTAATATATTGCACTTAAGTGTCAATAATTGCATTGGCAAGGTAAATCTTTTCTGTATACACACAATCCAATCCCTGGGATTGTCCTCTGCCTCATCTCCTATAGTCTCATGATGAGCACTGTGGGCTTTCATGCAGGAGATCAGGGTTCAAATTCAGCTACTGCAACTTTAACAAAAATCCCTTCAAACTTCATATTGTCACACAATTACCTTAATTACAAYCACCTGCTGACGTGACAGGCACAAGCTGGTATAGAAAACACATTCGAACTTGGTCAAAGTTCATTCTCAAAGTCCAATGCTCCTGCCTACATGGTCCTACAGCTGCCATTGTAATTTCTATCTGTAAAGGTCCRGTHRCAAATGATTGCTATGCCTTTTGGTACCTGTACAACTTGTAGTTTTTGAAATATTAATGTTTAAACTTTATTCCAAATTTATATAATGGGAGTCAATGGGGCCTTGTAATGGTCAAATACTGCCCCCAGCTGTACTCAACTTGGTACTGCACCATAGTTTTTTAATATTTAATCT